AATAAAACTTACTACTGGGGCTGGAACAAGAGCACAGCAGATAGGGCCTTTGCCTTGCACGTGGCCAACCCAGGTTCGATTCCCAGCATCCCATATGGTCCCCTGAGCACCACCAGGAGTGATTCCTGAGTGTGTGAGCCAGGAGTAACCCTGTGCATTGCTGGGTATCACCCAAAAAGAAAGAAAAAAGAAAAACCTTACTACTTCTGTTTCTTTCATTACTACTTTTATATCTTCCTCATGTCGTGGTCATCTCTAATACCCATCTTCATCCTTTTCTTTCTCAGATCTTATCCTATCCTGTAATACCTTCTTTTTGTCATAGTACACATCATCACATCTTTCAAGGCCCTGACCTTATTCGTTTACCCTCATCAGGGATCTAGGTTCTGATCATCACTTTTCCAGTCAATGAGGAATTGTATTCTTCAGTAATTCTCAGATAGGGACCAGAGCTACAGAGCATAGCACCCATGCTCGTGGCTCATCCAAGTCTGATCCCCTGCATCCCATATGGTCCCTTGAGCCCATCATAAATGATTCCTGAGTGTACAACCAGTGATTCCTGAGCATCATTGGGTGAGACCCCCGCCCCCCAAAAAAAAAAACAATTCTCAGTTGCTAGAAAAAGGTTTAAAACAATACATGTTCATTTCACATTCTGGTTTTCCAGATCCTTATATGTTATAGAATAGACCTGTAACAATCTACTGACATACTTGTAATTTGGCTCATGAAAATGCTTTAAAAGTTAAAAAAAAAATTACTTATTGAACTGCCAGAGAGACAGTACAGCAGTTTAGGCACTTACTTGCCATGAATGTAGCTGACCTGGTCCGGTCCTGGGTACCACAGATAGTCCCCTGAGCACCAGGTGTGGTGCACTCTGCAGTGAGTACAACGCCAGGATGGGCCCCTAGCTACCACAAATGTGGCTCAAAACCAAATAAACAACTTGTTGAGAATTTGAGTGGAGCAAAAAGTCAAGTATCGGAACTTATCATGGAAAATCTATCAGAACTACAAGCTCTCATTCAGACATTTCAGATGAGACAGTTTTTCCCTTGTTATTGCTAGGTCTTTGGAGAACAAGAGGACCCATTGTGCAGGCCCTACAGGGACAGCCCCATAGGGCTTTTAGACCTCCTGCTTCCTAAAGGCAACAAAACGGGGTTCCAGAGTCACACTGAGTCCACATTCATTGGGGGTGGGGGACAGACATGGTCTTGGGCCACAGCAGTAATCACTGCTAATAGCGCTTGAGGTCATATATGGTGCCAAGGAGCAAATTGAGGTGTCTCACATGAAGGTAAGTGCCTTAACCCTAGTACTGTCTCTCTGGTCCCACTTTCTTTAAATTCCATGTGATTGGGCCAGAGAGAGCTCATTGAGCTGGAGCACCTGCTTTGCAGTCTCTCAGAGCACAGTGCCTCCTGAGCATCGCCAGGGCCCCAGCAGGCGTAGCACTCAATCCTCAGCCCAATTGGCCAAAAATCATTGGCACTTACCCCTGGGCTCCTTGAGCATCGTTTGGGAGGCCCCTCCAATTTAAAAAACATCAAACTAAATTCCATATAAATTAATTCTACTATATAAATCACCATCATCCAAACTAAGATGTCACCAAGTAAATAGTGTCACTGTCACCAGGTAAATAGATCTCCAGCTTAAAATCTTTACCTGATATTTTATTTTTGGGGTACCAGGGGTCTGGCAAGTAGAAGCCTTACAAAGTTGAGTATCTGCCACACTGTTGGGGCCACACCTGACTGTGCTCAAGGCTTATTCCTGGCTCTGCACTCAGGGATTACTCCTTGTGAGGTTCGGAGGGGTGGGGAGGGAACCATATGGGGTGCTGGGGATAAAACCCATGTCTGCCACTTGCAAGGCAAGTGCCTTACCTACTGTATTACCCTCCAGCTCCTCAGGCTTGTCTCTTTTGGGGTTTTGTTTGTCTGTTTGTTTTTTTTTTTTTTTCTTTTTGGGTCATACCCAGTGATGCTCAGGGGTTACTCCTAGCTCTACACTCGGGAACTACTATTGGTGGTGCTCGGGGAACTGTATGGAATGCTGGGAATCGAACCTGGGTAGGCCGCGTGCAAGGCAAACACCCTGCCCACTGTGCTATTGCTCCAGGCCCAGGCTTGTCTCTTTGATCACAGAAATGATAGTTAAGCCCAAGGAATCCCTGGGTTCACTTACATGTGGGGTTATAACTGTTACCTAAAACTCACTTGCCCATACCCTTTACTACTTCTGCTTGAGTTTTTACTGAGCTAACACTTGACGATGATTTTTGGTTTCACCATTTGTGATTTTCTGGAATTTAGATTCATAGTAAGTGTCTACATCAACAGTAGTTTGGCTAATAGTCTTAGGATATTATTGCATGTTAAAAACGCCGACATCAGGGAGTGACCAAATTGTTCTCCAAAGGCCAGTGTTTGAATACAATCTCTCAGTCTGTGCTTGTCTTGTATTTTGGAGCTAGATAATCCTTGGCTCATCCCTGCAGTGTACTCCCCACTCCTGCTTGTAAATCTTATGAATTTTTCCCCCGTTATTCATAGCCTACTCCAGATTTTGTTTTAATCTTTTACAGTTACTAAACCAAGGAGATTTAATTGAAAGACGGACATGAGCATGGGTGCTAACTCCTAGAAAAGCAGCTCGAGCTGATCCCAGGATCACATAGTGGGAACTGGAGGCTTATGGCTCATGATCCGTCAGAACCAAAAAGAATCTATGAAGGACAAGACCCACTTCTGCTCCTGTTCATCTTTCCTGGCATAGAAGATGGATGTAGAAGAGCCTTTTTTCAAACCACCACCTGATCCAGACAAAAAAGAAAGCAGTGCATGTGGGCTGGGTAACTGTGCCGACCTCTGCAAAATTTGGAGTGGACTTCTCTCAGAAGAGAATTTGATTATGTGTTAGCTGAAGTTTCTCAGTATGACTGTTAAAGGATGTTTTCCTTTGAAGAGTTTTCATTCTACACTCAGTTGTCTTTTCACACGGATGAAGTAAGTCCTGCCATCAACCATACAACTTCAAGATGTTGAGCTTTCAAGATGCCTTGTTGCTTTGGAGAAGGGAGTGATGTCAAATCTATTGTGCCATTCTCCCTTTAGCAACCTGAGTAAGAAACTCTGCCACTGGGCTGCAAAAATAAAAATTACTTGAATCCAGTCTTGACCCTGGCTGAGGTACTGTCTGGGTCCAGTACACTTCTCCGACGTCACTTTGCTTTCTTTGTTTATGGAATATAAAATAGCACTCTAAGGGGGTTTTGTTTGTTTGTGTTGAGGCTCATAACTCTGAACTTCCCAGTTGTTTTCCTTTGTTGCTGGAGCAGTAGTACAGTGGGTAGGTTGTTTGCCTTGCATACAGCCGACCCAGGTTCAATCCCTGATTCCCTGAGCACTGTCAGGAGAAATTCCTGAGTGCAGAGGCAGTTGAGCATTGCCAGGTGTGGCCCAAAGACAAAAAAGAAAGAGAGTCATGGAAAACATAATCTGAGCATTTTCAGCTCTAGCTTGCAGACTTGGTGGTGTCATTAAGATCATGTCTAAATCTGAAAAACTGGCAATAACAAGTTTTGAAATTTCCCAGAGTTTTTGAAAAACAAAAGAAAGTTATTTCTGTTAGAATTGGTTCTCTAAAAATACTGGGAAGGAGTAATTGTTGGTGAAAAGTATTCCTATACCAAACATCACAAATACAAAGGTAGAGTTGTCAGAGAAGATTCAGATTTATTTAAAATGAACCCCAGGCTGATATATACACAACCGTGGTACATTCTAAACAGATAAAGACATAGCCATGTTTTAAATAAGTTAATGGCATGCAGAGTCAGCTCTGTGCTATGCAGACTGAGATTGTGTCAACATATTTTTAAAATGTTCATCCCCGTGACGTATTCGATATGCCAGACACAGTAACAACAAAGTCTCCAATGGAGACGTTACTGGGCCCGCTCGAGCAAATCGATAATCAACGGGAGGGCCTTTACCTTTATATATATATATATATATATGCTGTCCCCACAAGCCTTGGGGACATCCGGCAATAGCTTGAGACAGTGTTGATTGTGCTCCTGGGGAGAGGCTGTTTCTGACATATAATGAGTAGAAGCCAAGGGTGTTGCATATGACACACACGACATCTTCCTCTCCCATCAAACACTTACCTGGAACAAGATGTTGTTAATGCTGCATTTGTAATTAACAATATTAGAAGTTGCAAACTTTTCATCTCTAGGTAAGTTGTTTTACTCACAGACTATTTCCAAGTAATTTTTCGTTTTTGAGTGGAAGGGATAAAATTTAGGGGTGTGGTTAACAGGTGCTTGATTTGTTTCCTAATGCAACTGGCTTGGTAGTTCTGGACCTGTATTCCAGTAGGGTTAGTACGCTCCAGACTTCTCTATCTCCTACCGCCTTAAAACTAGTCCATGTGATCCTGACATTTCCTGACTAGCCTTTGTAGATCTGAACTTATCCCTTTTTCTGTATTTATAATCTGAGGCACAAAACCAGAAGAGTTGCTTTTTTTTTTTTTTTAAATAATTGGGGCCACACCTGGCAGTGCTAGATAAGCAGCTGCTTTTCACTTTTGTGTTGTGGGGGGTGGGGGGGGCAACCAAGTGGTGCTAGAGATTGAGTCAGGCCCAGCTGTATGCAAGGCAAGTGCCTTAACCCTTCTAGCGTTAAGCCAGAACTTTTTGGGGGACAGGGTGGAGGGTGACAGGTGAAGACTAGGTCACTGCCAGTGGTGCTCAGGGGCTATTGCTGGCTCTGAACTCTGGATCAGGCTTGGTGGCATGAGAGGCAAGTGCCTTAATCCTGTACCGTATCTCCAGCTCCTAAAGCTCTTAAATTGACTCAGATCCATTCACTGTGACTAGCACTTTAAATTTTTTTTAATCATTCCTGCCAATTTGCTAGTTTTTCATTCTCTCAAAAACTTTGACTCAAAATTCAATCTTGCCTGACTTGAAAGACTAATTTTAATGGTCAAGCCAGTGATTTGGCATTCTCCAGAAATTCATGAGATAGATCCTCCGAATCTTTCTTGGAACTTAAAGGCCATTCCAAAGATTCTTCTAAATCCTGTTGTGGACTTTTGATGCTGAGTTCTGTAGTTTCACGGGAACTGCAAAATAAATCAAGGTATTACAAAATTAATTTAAAACATTTTAAGGGCTCAAGAACAGGGGGTTAAGGTGCTTGCCTTTTATATGGCAACTATGGTTTGATCCCAGGCACTGCCTATAGCCTTTGCTACGAATGACCCTTGAGCACAGAGCCAGGAGTAGCCCCTGACTACTGCTGTGTGTAGCCCAAAACCAAAAATGAAAGAAACAAAAGACATTATCTAAGGCTTATGAGTGGGAGAGGGAGGTATACCTGCTGAAGTGCTCAGGGATCAACTCCTGATAATGTTTTTTGGGTCATATGTGGTGCCAGAGATTGAACTGAGGTTAGCTGTGTGCAAGGCAAATGCCTTAACCCTTGTATTATCTTTCCAGCCCCTGGATTCTACTTTTTTTTTTTCCTGCATTGGCGATGGTCAGGGTTCACTCGAGCACCAACAGGAGCTCTGAGCATCTCCAGATGTGACCCAAAAAAACTTCCTGCTAGTGGCATATCTAGGGATGAAATTTTTAAAACTAGAAGCGTCTCAGATTACCTGGGACAATCGCGGGCTTCTGGCTGACCCTTCCACTGCATAGCCCGAGCTCCCTCACCCTTGTTCTTCACAAAGTCTTCATCCAGCCCAGCCTGCTTCAGGGTGTCTCGATACCTTTGTTCTGCTTCTTTTCTGGCGAGGTTCTGTGAAAGGCAATTTGTTACAGCTCTCATAAATTACCAGATAATTCCAGATTATTTAATATATGTCCTTTTTGTTTTGTTTTGGGGTAATATCCCATGGTGCTCAGGAATCACTCCTGGCAGTCCTCAGTGGACTGTATGGGATCCTGGGGATTGAATCTGGGTCAGTCACCTAGAAGGCTAGCACCCTGCCCACTGTACTGTCACTCTGACCCCTTGATAAATATCTGTTAATTGTTTCCTACCTCCAACCCCCCCCCCCCAATGTACACTGATTTACCTAAGAGTTACTTTGACCCTAGGGCCAGAGAAAGTGCAGAGGCTAAAGCACTTAACACAGCCAACTCAGAGCACTGCTAGGAGTAACCTTTGAGTACTGCCAGGTGTAACCGAAAAATTAAAGAAAAAATTATTGAAGCCATTATTTTCAAGATTTAAAGTACCTAGAAACAACCAGAAAATCTGGTTAAAATGCAGATTATTGGCCAGGGATATAAATCAGTTGTAGAGCAGATGCCAGCCTGGAAGTGCACACACACCACGCACTGCAGATTCTGGGAGTTGGCATGACTCAGCAGGAAACTGTTCTTCATCTCTATAAAGCCTCTGGGTTCAGTTCCTGCTACCACATACATACATACAAAGATCTGTATGGGGCTTGAGACAGAGCCTACAATTCTGAATTTCTAACACCCCAGGAGATGACAACTTGAGTTGGAAGCCATCCCAATGAGAAGTGAGAACTCTGAACTATTTTATGTCTTTACAGTTTTTTCCTTTTTGTTTTTTTTGGGGGGTCTACACCCAGTGGTGCTACTGATCACTCCTGGTGGGACTTGGGGGATCACATACATGGGATGCTGGGAATTGAACTTGGTTTGGCCCTGTGCAAGAATAGCGCCCTCCCTACCTGTCGTACCCTTTCCAGCCCCTAATTTTTTTAAGGTTCTAGGGACTGAAGCAAGGACCTCATGCATGCAAGGCTGAATCTAATTCTTAATATCCTTGGCACTGAGGACTTCATCTTGGAGAACTAAGAAAACTCCTGATGAAGAAGTGAACTAAAAACCTATTAATATTGAGGGACTGGGGAGATAGTACAGTGGGTAGGGTGCTTGCTTTGCACACAGCCAATCTGGGTTTGATTCCCAGCATCCCATATGGTCCCCCCAAGTGTAACCAGGAGTAATTCCTGAGGGTAGAGTCAGGAGTAACCCCTGAGCATTACCAGTGTCACCCCAAAACCAAAAGCCCTTTTAAGATTTGAAAGCGCCCAAACCATCATTAGGAACACAGAAAATAAGCTGCATCACTTAGAGGGAAGGTTTTTTGTGGAACTGAAAGAACACTGACTCCAAGAGAAAAACTCATATAGAGTATTTCCTGTTTTCTTCTAGAGTGCTGAGTGTTAAGATCTCTGTGATCTTGTTTTAAAAAATTGACAGAGGAAAGGTCAAAATCAGAGACTTGGAGCAATGTTTGTTACTAAATTAATCCCAGTGCAAAGAGAGAGATTCAGAAAATGCCTACACAACACGCTAGCTGTAATTACATAGATAATGTCCAGAATTGGAGTTAGATCACAGAGAACTCCAACTTTAGAAACTTTGGAGAGGAGAGGGATTCCCAATCTGAGGTATCCCAAAGTTGTCTGAGAGGGTGACTTTGCCATCGCTATTAAGTCACACCAGAGCTTTCTGAGCGAGATCTCAACCAAATTCAACTTCCCAAAGACTAGAAACCATTTGCCTGGCCTGTTGCACTCTTTCTAGCAGCTTTTGAGTTACCTTAAAAGTGCTCGAGGGACCAAAGAGGTAGTACGGCGGCTAAGATCATTGCCTTGCAAATAGCTGACCAGGGTTCCATCCCCAACGCTGCATGTAATAAGCATTGAGCCAGGAATAATCTCTGAACACAGCTGGGTATGGCCCCAAAACAAACTTTCACAGGGCCAGAGATAGTATAACAGGTTAAGTACTCACCTTGCATATAGCTGACCAAGTTCAATCCTGGTACCATATATGATCCCCTAGCACAGAGCCAGGGTAAGCCGTGAAATCAGCTGGGTATGGCCCACAATCCAAGTAAACTGTTTCAAAATTTCTAAGAGCCCAATCATCTGAGACAAATAAAACGGTAGATTAATTTTACCTTGGTAACTTGTTCAAAAAGGTAAGGCCTTCTTTGTATTCTCTTTCTCATTTCCTCCAATTCTTTCTTGTACTCTTTTGTTCTTTTACGGTCATTGTTCCTGGGATTTAGAATATATATGTTAAAATACACTCTCCAAGACCCCCAGACTAACCCTGGAGAGAACTACACAAATCTACAGTCAGTCCGGTAATATTAACAACAAGGGGAAGGGAAGGGGGAAAAAATGCTAAATGAATTTACAAAATAATTTTGTTGTCATTCTAGAATATCTACCCTTCATTCTAGTTAAGCAGCACAACCCGATGTCCATCGAGGTATGCCGTATACCATACGCCCCAGGTATAAATTCCTAAAATCATAAGTGCAGTTTGTTCCTTTAAGCCCCTTAGACATGTAACTCACTTGCTTGTCTGTTTCTTTGCTTGCTCTTCAAGCTCTGTTCTCTACTGAATATATGTATTCCTTTTTCTTTCCCCACCTCACATCTTTTTGATGTTCAATAAAAACTCTTGCTTCACCAACAAAAATTTAAAACTAAATCATAAGTGTCTGACAGGGGCCAGAGTGATAGAACAGTGGGAGGGCTCTTGCCTTGCACATAGCTAACCTAGGTTTGATCCCTGCACCCAGTATGGTTCCCAGAGCCCCATCAGGAGTGATCCCTGAGCATAGAGACAAGAGTAAGCCTCAGCACTACCAGATGTGGCCCAAAAAGCTGTCAAACGCCTAGCAAAACCCCTCGACCCTGCAATATAAGAGCCTACCCATATGGCTCCATTTTGGCATTTTTCTTTTTTTTCAAACTTCTTTTAAATTTAAAATTCTAAAGATAAATGGTGGTGTTTACTGCACAGGAATGTGGATGTTGTTTGGTTTGGGGGCCACAACTGGCAGTGCTCAAGGATCAGTCCTGCAGTCCTCAGGGAACCATATGAGGTGCCTATACTCAGATCAGGGTCAGCCTCATTTACAGCAAGTGCCTTACTCCTGTATTATCTCTCTGGCCCATTTTTCTCCCTTAGTTCTTGAGCCACACCTGGCAGTTCTTAGAGGCTACTGGATCCGTGCCTGAGGGTTTCTTATAGTGGATCTTATGTGATATCGGGGATCAGACCAGGGGCTCTGCATGCAGAGCACACACTCCAGCCCACTGAGCAACCTCTCCAGCTCCAACTTCGGCACTTTCAGGGCCAATGAGCTGTTAGAGCTTAGAGCAGGGCACTCCTTCCATGCTGGGCAGATACTGACCTGTTCTCTCGCAGCTTGGCTCTGAATACCTCTTCCAGACTTTTGTGGGGATCCATGGCTTTCGCACGCAAGGTCACAGACTTGGACATCGCTTGGCACTTCTTTTTGTGCTTCTCCAACCACTGAGTACTCTCATCTGCTTTGTCCCTTTTTTCAAGTGAACTCCTAAAGTGAGGAAGCAAACAAAATACCGGTGATCAACTTGAGGTCATATGTTAAAATGTGGAAAGTTTGAACGGGGTAGGTAATCTACCATACTGGCATTTTGGGAAGTTTTCTGGGATTAAATACCTGGCTGATAGACACAGTGATTTTTCGACCCCGGGAAAAACTTCCTGAACTGAAAAACATGAGTTAAAATACCTTTATTTAGGAATTCACTCTGGCTTTGTGCCTATCTGGAAATTTTACTAACAGCTACCATATGCTGAGCAGCCTACCCTCAATCAAGTACACAGAGCCAGTCAGCACCTTCATGCTGATCAGCTAATGAAATCCTCATGACTCCCGTGAGAAATAAGGGCTATGCTTGCTCCCTTAGCTTGAGCCCAGAGAGGAAAAGCCCCTTGCTCAAAGGTTCTCAGCATGCCTTGAACAAGTCACACTGAGTCAGGTTGCCTGACGCCCAAGCCCCCACCTTGACCGTTGACCTGAATTGGGAGGAGCTGGTTTACAGGCCCTTAGGAACCCCACACTCTGGAAATGGGTCTCGTGGTCCACCTGCAGCACAGACTGCATACCTGTCATTCTGCAGGGTCTCGGGAGAGTCCCGGTGAAGTCAAAATGGCCAAGACTTGCATTTGGAGATTTCCATTCAAGTGGACAGGAAGGTAAGGAGGGGGTGTACGTGAGGGACAGATGTGGCCATGCTCTAAGCAGCCTCTCTGTTCCCTCAGGCCAATTTGAGGCGGTCCCTGCAGGCTGCTGAGTTTAGCCTGGATGTAGAAGCTCCAACTAGGAATGTGAGGAAGGAAGAAATTCCCTTGACTTCTAAAGCCATTGACTTCTAAAACCCCTCTTGCGGATCTTGTTTTTGTGGGTTTGGAAACCACTTGGTGGTCACCCCTGGAAGAAGGGATGAAACCCAGGCTTCCTGCAGGCAAAGCACATAGCCCATTGTGCTCTCTCTCCAGCCCCCTACCTGTGAGCGCCACAGAAACCAGACCTTTGCTGACCTCAGCTCAGAGAGAACAAAGCTCCAGGAGAACAAAGCTGTGATGGTGAACTTAGTGGCAAACAGGCAAATGCTCCGGCTTCTCCAAGACATGCTCAAATCTGGGCAAGGGATTGCCACCTGCCTTCACACTCCTCTCAATTCCTGATCCTAATCCTTCCCCTTCTATCTGTGGGCCTTCACTCATGCCATTCCCTGTTTCAACATTTGTTTTCCAGCCTTCAGCTAATTTCTGCTTCAGGTTTCACCCCAGACATCTATTGCAAGAGACCCCTGCTTAGGCTGCCCATTGCCATCTCCTGTGTCCTCCCTCCTCATTGTACCACTCACAGAACAAGGCCGTTACTCTACTCCTTCTCTGTATTTCAGACTTGACAGTAAACAGTGGGTTCCATCAGCGATATCCTGCCTAACTCACAGTACAGAGTAAGTCCCCAGCGATAAATATTTCCTGAATGGTGGAATACTTCCAGTGTGCTGCAGCCCTAAGTGTGGACAGCCATGGTGTTCCTGTCCTGAGCAGAGACTTGCCCTCCACCCCCGGGTCTGCTCACAGTACAGCTGGCAGCAGTGGCCCCCTCTCCCCACCCAGACCTGCCGCTCACCTGACTGCAGATTCCCTCTTCCTGGTGGCGTCTGTGATGTGCACTGGGAGAGTGTTGGCCGAAAGGGAAGCGAGGCCACTCAGAGAACGGCTCCTGGGCAGCGGGGTGGTGGGTGGCTGCGGAGAATCCTAGCAGAGATGGGGATTAGTTTGTGATTTTACGCAGTGATTTTACTTCAGTCTTACCTAGGATTCAACTTAAGTGAGGAATGCATCAGACTGAAGAGTCTTCCTTCTTTTTCCCCTTCTTTCTGGTATTAGGCAAGAGGAATGAGATCTTGAGTTTAGTAACCAGGCTAAGACTTGGAACTCAGTCCTAAAGTTTTGACTCAAACAAAGAGATCTTTGGAACTGGTAAAGGAACACAAGCAACCGGTACCAGCTCCCTGCCTCCTGGGCCTGCCCAGCTGTAAACCTCCATCCAAAAGGGAAGGAAGCCATCTTGTACTTTAAGTCTATCAGAATTGTAATTCTATATACAACTAAGCTCATATTTATTTGTTTTTTTAATTTGATTTTTTTAATTTGATTTTTGAAGGATTGTTTTTATAATCCAACAGTGCTCAAGGATTATTCCTGGCTCTCTGCTCAGGAGTCACTCCCGGTGGTACTCGGGGACCCTGTGGGATCCCAGGGATGGATCTCAGGTAACCATATGCAAGGCAAGTACCCTACCTGCTGTACTGTCACTTAGGCCTCACTAAGCTCGTGTTTAAACTGAATTTAGAGGACAGCTCAGGAGACATGTCTTCCCACCCCACCCCCAGCCCATCCTGGATCTCGCGCCTCAGGCCCTAGCTGTCCCCTCTGTCTCCTGGGCTCTCACCTTCTGTCCTCCAGAGGTGGCCACATCACAGGGCCGCCGAGGGTGATGCAGGCTGGCGGTTCTCAGCGAGAAGGGCTTGTTGCGAGTCGCCTCCTGGGTGTCCCTTCTCTTGGCGGCTCTCCTCTGGAAGGCCTTGTACAGGCATTCATAATCAGGGACCACAGGGTTCACCCGGGGCTGGAAGCCGAAGTCCCTGTTGAGGAAGCCGAGCTGCTTCTCCCAGGTCCGGGTGGCTGTGCGAGGCTGTGCGTCTGCCCGGCCTTTAGAGGCACTGATGGGTGAGGAGGCCATCCGGAGCATGTCCAGGGCTCTCATTTGGATGCGAATTTTCCTGAGGAGTTCAGCCTCTGGAGAAAAAGCCAAGGTAGTGATGGGGGAAAAGGGAGACCTAGCCTCAAAGCCCAGGGTTCAGAGGTGGACTGGGGTGGTTCAGGAAGGTGCCAGGAGTTTGATGAGCCAGTTGCAATCACATGGGAAACCTCGGAGTGGCCATGTGCTAGGATTATTAATAATCTGGAAAACAGTTATCACTACAAACCTGCTTGCTTTTCTCCCCATTGCTGGAGAGCCCATTAACTGTCACCAACCAAGCAAGTTGCAGAAGCAGCTGTCATCCACTGAGCAACTTGACGGAGAAGGAGAGAGAGAGCCAGACCCCTGCGCCTCCCTCCAGTCTTCCCAACTCAGAGAAAGGCCCTGCCAGACCCCCAGACCCTCTCTCACCTCATCCATCACAAGCTCATCCCCTCGTTAAATTCCTTCCACCCTTCCTTGGTGCTCCGATTTCCTAACTTCTCAAAAGCCCTGTTGCAGTAGTCTCACTTTTAGTAGTCTTGGGGCCAGAGTAATAGTATAGCAAGTGGAGTGCTGGCCTTGCATGTGGCCTACCCAGGTTCAATCCCTGGCACCCCATATGGTCCCTCAAGCTCTACCCGAAAGTGATCTGTGAGCGCAGAGCCAAGAGTAAGCCCTGAGCACTGCCGGGTGTGCCCCCCTTTAAAAAAAAAAGCCCAAAACAAGGCTTGCCTCACCCCCTTCAATTATCCACAGGCCATCATGGAGATCCTTCTGCTTTTATTTTTGCTTCTTGAGTCACACTCCATGATGCTTAGGGGTTACTCCTGGCTCTGCACTCAGGAATTACTCTTGACAGTGCTCAGGGGACTGTATAGGATGCTGGGATCAAACCTGGGTTGGCTGTGTGCAAGGCAAATGCCCTACCCCACTGTATTGCTCCGGCCCCAGGAGGGTCTTTTTTTTTTCTTTTTGGGTCACACCCAGTGATGCTCAGGGGTTATTCCTGGCTCTGCACTCAGGAATTACTCCTGGCTGTGCTTGGAGGACCATATGGGATGCTGGGGATTGAACCCAGGTCAGCGGTGTGCAAGGCAAATGCTCTACCTGCTGTACTATCGTTCTGGCCCCACAGGAGAGTATTTCTGAACTGCCAGTCTGATCATGAACCACCCTGAAAGGGTTCCCCGGTGCCCCTGGGATGAACTCCAGACATACCTCTGGAGAGAGATCCCACCTATGTCCTAGCTCTGCCTGTGCCTGCCTCTCCCGTCTGTCTTTCTATCCTGAGTAGGCTCAGCTTTCTCTTCCTCCAGGTTAGCTCTCTGCTCACTGTGCTCTTCCTCCTTCATCCAGCCAAATGCAGCTCCTCTTTCCCTAACTAGTCCCACACCTAGACACACCCCTGTTTCACTTCCAAAGGATCCCCAGATTTCCTCCTTTAATTCTTGGAAATGTGATCCCATTAATAGCTCTTGCCTGGGACTCTGTCCAAAATGTCCGCCTCTGCTGATTCACAGTGGAGGAGTAGGTGTGAGTGGCACATGCCAGTCCCTGAGGGGCTGAACTTCTTGAAATGGAACTTCCTCAGGAACAGGGAGGGAGGTCCCCTCTTCTCAAAGGCAGCTGGCCAATGGCCCTAGTCACACTGCCCCTGGAATGCCATAGTGAGTCTCTGCTCTTACCTGGGACACCGTGGAGCCATTCACACCACTCAATGGTCAACCAAACAAATCAAGAAAGACAGTAAAGGACCTTTCCCCTGCCCCTCCCCAGTATGGACACACCCAACATTACTCGACGGCCTGCTGTTATAGTTGACCACGCAGGTCAACTCCATGCCAGGCTAACGTGAGCCTGACCAAACCCCTTCAGCACCCCTTAGGCACCCCCCTCAGTGTGTTGGCAAGAGCAGATTTACCTTGCAGTTTCTCCCCAAGGGCTGGCTCTAGAACGGACTTGGGGATCTTTCTGATGGCCTTCGGCTTAGGGCTGTTGGCCTTTGCCGAGGCGGCCAGTTCCCTCTGTTGAGCAGCTTCTTTTCTCTGCGCCTCCTTTTCCACAAAGCTGAAGGGCTTCAAGGAAGACAGAAGGAGTTCCTTCCGCTTCTGGATTCCTGCCTGCCTGCGGGCCTCCTTGCGCACCATGATCTCCTGGTAGAGGGGCAGGTAGACATGTGCAGGCACAGGCTGTGCCCGGAACTGCCGCTGGCACTCGGCTTCCTCCTGGCCTTGCTTCTGGGCCTGCTGCCTCTCCTGCTCGAAGCATGCAGGAGATGCCAGCCACTGGGCCTTCTTCCGGGCCTCACGGAGGGTCATGCGGAAGGGCTGAGGGACAGTGATGGAGGATGCCCAGGAGCTGACACTTCTGTGCTGGGAGGCAGGCCTGGAGTGGGGCTGGGGCTGATCTCTTGGGGTGCTGGAGGGAAGGCTGCTGAGAGAGCTGCAGCGCCTCCTGGAGCTGTTCCTGGGGAGGGCGAGCAGGTTGGTATGAAATGCCCCAGCAACTCCTCCCGCTCCCCACTCACCCTTCAGAAGCCCTCAGCCTGGCTGGGCCCTAAGTCTGCACCTTTCTCAACATACCGCCCTCCTTCCCAAAGGCCGTTTCCTCGGAATTTCCTCAGAAGCCACTCACACTTGACTGCTTTCAGGTGAAGAGAAGGTGCCCTGGTGCAGGGCCACACAGTCCAGGTTCAAATTCTGCTTCAAACAAGCATAGCCGTGTGGCCCTGGGGTCACTGTTCTCCTGGGGTCTCAGTTCTCTCCTGCTACCTCTCCAAGCCCCCATTCTTCCTTGTATATGTATCTCACTTGCTTCTCTCTCTGTCTCTTTGCTTTTCCCACTCTAGAGAACCTGTGTTCTCTCCTGAATACATACTTCCTCTCTTTCTCTCCCCTCACATCCTCCTAAGTTTCAATAAAAACTATCTTACTTCACATACACAAAACAACAACAACAAACAAAACACCTTGATTCTTTTCTCTATAGAATGGCAATAATTACTAGAGGTGTTAAGAGAGGAAAATAGATATTAAATTAGATAAAGTATGTACACATTTAACAGTTTTGCTGTTATATTTGTATATTTTGCTATCATGCTTTTGCTTGGCCAGGATACCGTGCTGCATTTTCAGGGAGGTGGTATATGGGAAAGCATCCCTTTATTTTTATTATTTTTTAATCAGTGTGAGGAAAAACTGGATATTAAATGAGATAAAGTATGCATGCATCTAACAGTTTTGCTGTAGTATTTATATTTTTGCTTCATATTTTTGCTTGGCCAGGATACTGTGCTGCATTTTCAGGGAGGTGGTATATGGGAAAGCATCGCTTTGTTTTTATTATTTGTTTGTTTTTAATCAGTGTATAATCAAAGAAAGCAAACTAATCAGTTAGTGCAATGATCCATTTGTGAGGTATGGTTTGAGATGATCTGCCAGCTTCAACTTTCTTTGAAGCACTTAAATGATTTGGCATAGTAAAGTTCTTACAGCTCTCTTTCATCAGCTCTACTGCTTCCAGCGCATTTGGCTTATCCAAAGTGCTGTGGGGATCGCTGGGAATCAGAAGACCTCCCTGCATCTGATTCTGGGCTGGAGCCTGGATATGTGGCAACTTGCCAAAGAGTTTGGCATTACAGAGGCGGGAGGTGGATTACAGAGGACGAAGATGAGTCATGGCAGGGCTAAGCGCTGTGCAGTGAGACAGCCATTTCAGCTGCCTGGTCTTACCTCGGACTCTGTGGCATCCCCCTGCCTCTGTTCTGGAAGAAGCTCTCCAGGTCCTCATCATCTTCTGAGAGGTTCTCATCACTGTCTGAGGTGGATGGATAAAGGGACTTCAATAGGCCCCACTTGCCTTTCTCCTTTAGTTCTCGCAGCAGCTCAAAGAGGTTTCCCATTGAGTCAGAAGTGGAATCTGTCTCATCATCGGGACTGAGGAATTCATCAAGCTTGCCAGCTCTGGGCAATGCCAGTCCATCACCGGACAGCTCTTCTGTCTCTGTGTCCGAGGAGGATTTGGGGGGAAATATCTAAAATGAAACACAACACTCTAGGTCAAACTGTAATTTCAAATTTTACTCATAGTTTAATTTCACTTTGAATAACCCTCTATAATAAACCTGGGGAGTTACAAGGGAAAAAATTGTCCTAAAAATCTCTTGTCCTAAAGATATTTCATACATTGGTGTGTGGACAGGACCAAATCGTGCCTGACTGATGGACAGAAAGAAAAGCAAAGAGCTAGGTCCATCTCGGGTTCTTACAGTGCAGTGAGAGGCTCAACTCTGCCTCAATCTTCCCCTGGCACTCCAGAAACCCAACCCTTGACCTTGGCCATACTTTGGCACTGCCCAACTTCTTTTGGGGGGAAGGGTCTTAGGTGGTGCTTGGTGACAGTATGGTGATGGGGACGGATCCAGGGCTCCTTTATGCCAAAGCATTTGCTTCAATCTGTTCAGCTATCTCCCTGGCTCCTCCTTGGGGGTCTACCTCCTGTCGCCCACTGTGCCTCTCCTGCTTCTGTGACGGGATAGAGGCAGTGTCTAGCTGGAAGAGCAATGTCTGAGAAAGTGGGCAAACCAACTGGGTTCAAACACTTCATTCAGAAACTATTTATTGGGGTCCATGAAAATAGCTCAGAAGCTAGAGCACAGACTTTGAAGGGCCAGAGGCCCAGGTTTGATCCCAAGTACCACATGGTTCCCCAGCATCCCCTGAATTCCATGCTGGGATCACACTGCTGGATAAAAGCAACCACCAACAAAGGCCAGATAGTATAGCAGAGAAGGCGGGTGACCTGGCTTTGATCCCCAGCACCCCCATATGCTTCCCTGAGCCCACCAGGAGTGATCACTAGGCTCAGAGTCAGGAGTAACCCCTGGGCATGAAGAGTGGCCCAAAAGACAAAAGAAAATAACAGAAAAGCAAAGTGTACGCTCCAACAGATTTTATTGAGTGACCAGGACATAACCCATTTTAGGAAGGATGTATTCTCCCCCAGAATTTCATACCCTTCAAGCAGCCGCTGTTTGTTTCCTATCACCCTACCCCGCAAACACACACACACACACACACCCCTCCCGCTGGCTCAAAGCAACCACCAATGGATTTTCTCTCTCCGCGATTTTTTTGAGGCAAAAATCTTCATCTCGGGGCTGGAGCAATAGCACAGCGGGTAGGGCGTTTGCCTTGCACGCAGCCGACCCGGGTTCGATTCCCAGCATCCCATATGGTCCCCTGAGCACCGCCAGGGGTGATTCCTGAGTGCAGAACCTGGAGTAACCCCTGTGCATCGCCGGGTGTGACCCAAAAAGCAAAAAAAAAAAAAAAAAAATCTTCATCTCTCTGTGCCTGCTTTCTACAAAAATGGAGACAAGCGAAGTGTTAGTTCTGGGGTAATTCGAGGCGAAGCGAAAACTGAGCATCGTTGCTATGGGTCTACGAGGAGCCTGACGGCTGGAGTCCACCTCCGGGTGCCTAAAAGCTATTTTTAATCTCACACCCCCTAGGACACGCCCCTGTCGACTGTCTCCAAGGCAACGCCAAACAGTTTTCTATTTTTAAGATTCCCTCCAGGGAACTGTGCGGATCCCCCCACGGCCCCCATTTCTTTCGCTCCTCACCTGCTGGCTGCCCTCAGAGCTGCTGGAGGCTCCCACCGGCCTCCCCACGGTCATCTTCTAAGCTAGACAGACCCAGAAACATCAGTGACAGCGGCCGCAGCTGAGTGGGAGGTGCGAACGACGCATGTCTGAGCCCCGCCCCTTTCTAGTTCTGGATTCTGATTGGCTGTAGGCCTACGTGCGAACTAGTTCCCGCCCACGGCACGCTTTAATTCATTCCGCCCAGGGAGGCAAGGGCCAATATGTGATTGGCCCATGGCCTTTGCGCATGGTCTTTCCGGTGAGAAGCCGTGGCCGCCGCGGCGAGGGATTGGAGGACTCTGCTCCGGAAGTGCTAGCTCGCAGGCAGCGGGCTCGGCACCTGTCCGCACCATGGCGGCTCGCGGGGCTGTGTGTCGGTGGGGTGCTGCCGCGGCCGCTACTCGTCGGGGGCTGCTCTGCTCCCGAAGGGGCTTCAGCGCTTCGGCAGACACTGTGTACGATGTAGTGGTGTCGGGCGGAGGCCTGGTGGGAGCCGCCATGGCCTGTGCCTTGGGTAAGCGCCCCTCCAGCCCAGTAGTGGCGGGCAGCCGGGCAGTGGAGCGCGTGGGGACCGTGGGCGCGTCGGCACCGATTAATCAGAGTCAGCGTTGCGGATCACGTAATCCTTTTCCAGTCCTCAGCAGCCTCAGGGGAAGCGTTTGCACCTTTCTTGATCCATTGGGTCAAAAGTGGGAGGGGCCTTAGGAATCATTCTGCGTGACTTTAGAAACCGTACCCTTCGATTATTAAAAAAATTTTTTTTTTTTACTCTTTGGTTATTTCTTAATGGGCACCGTTAGAAAACAGCGGACAGTATTGTTCTTTGGGCTAGGCATTTTTGCTTTTAAAAGTTTATTTGAGGGGCCGGAGCAGTTGTGCAATGGGCAGGGCACTTGCCTTACCCGCGGCTGACCCCAGTTCATTCCCCAGACCTGCCAGCGATGATCCCCGAGCTCAGAACCAGGAGTGAGCAAACCCTGAGCACTGCAGGGTGTCCCCAAAAACCAAAAGGAAAAAAAAAGAAAGAAAAGAACTCCTAGGAGTTGTTCAGAATTAAAGACTTACAGGCAGAATGGAGCAGAAACAAGGGAGTTTTTCGCATTTAGCCCTTTCCTTCTCTTTTAGTCATCTTCCTGTTCAACTAATTGCAGTTTGAAATTATGTGCTGGTAGTTGCTTCTGTATAAACGTAGACTTTCCCCCTCGTCTTTATTACCCTAACCATACTATGGAACAGCTATTTTACCTAGCATTTTTATGGTGTAAACTATGTGGGGGGCAGGGCTGGGTAGTGCAGTCAATTTATTTTTGTAAATAAGGGTCACCCCATCAGACATCAGGAACCTCCTGGTCATTCCGAGCCTGGGAAAGTTGGGGAGTGGGGCAGGTGTGTGGTCATGGTGACCAAATTTGGGGCCTCCCATGCTAGGCTATTGGCACACTCTCCCCAGCGCGAATTCATTATTACTGTTTTTTGCATGAGGAGGATGAAGTTTTGTCCCTGGTGTTTCACAAACCCTAATTCTTTATCTTTTTATTTTATCTCGAGGCTTCGGTTTTGAACAGGATTTGTAATTTTTAGTACCTTAACACTTTGAAGACTAGAAATATCTGGTATGTCAGCCCTCCAGCATGCCTTTTAGGCTATGCTCTTCCCTTTGTAGTGTGTTCTGTTGCCTCCTGGTAGGCTTTGCCTTTACTTAAACTATTTTGTCCAGGGCAGGTATTTATGGTCTGAAAAAAAGCCTAACTGTTCTACAGGGTGGTTTGAAATGGCATTGTGTGTCCTTATTATTTGTTTGCAAATTGTATCCTGAGTACTAAAGGATTAGGTCATGTGGTGCTTTCTGAAAATGAGAATGAACCGGTTCTGTTCAGGGCAGGGGTAAAGTTTGGGATAGAAAAATGTGAAATATGGTGGTGGGAAGGTGTAATATTGGTAGGATTGGTGTTTGAATATTAAATGTAGTCAAATATTGTGAACTACTTTATAAAAATAAGTTAAAAAAATAAAAATAAATTTCTTTGGAAAAAAAGAAAATGGGAATGTGCGAAAAAAAATATTCTGGTTTTCCTTTAAAAATATGTGTTTGTTCTTTCAAGGATATGATCCTCACTTTCGTGACAAGAAAATCCTGTTGCTAGAAGCAGGCCCCAAAAGAGTTTTGGAGAAATTGCCAGAAACTTACAGCAACAGGGTCAGCTCCATTTCCCCAGGTTCTGCAACCCTTCTCAGTAGTAAGTAGAAGATTGTCTCTCTTTCTTTTTTGTGGTTTTTCAACATGTCCCAAGGACAGTCCCCAGAGAGTCTAGAGAGGAAGGAACTCCCTGAGATGTGTCATGGTTAGTAGTCAATGGAGAATGCAGACCCCTGAAATGTTTATATTGTTTGTTTTTGTTTTTTCAATTTTTTATTGAATATTGTGCAAATTGTATCCTGAATACTAAAGGATTAAGACAAACTTGCAGGCTATCGAATGTAGCCTGCCCACAGGGCAGAGTCTAGCAAACTCCCCGTGGCGTACCAAATATGCCAAATACCAGTAACAATGATGGGTCTCATTCTCCTAAAGAGCCCTGAATATAATCTCAGGGCTAGGATGAAAGGGACGTTACTGGGGCCTGCTCGAGGCAATCGACGAATAACAGGATGAATGAATGAATTGAATATTATGAGATTGACCATTACAAAACTGTTTATGATTGGGTTTTAGACATACAATGATCCAATACCCATCCCTCCACAAGTGTATATTTCCTACCACTAATGTTCCCTATTTCACTCCCACCGTCCCCCTAACCCCCTCCCCAGCCTGCATCCATGGCAGGCATTTTTATTTTTTCTTTCTCTCTCCTTTTATGCATTATGGTTTGCAACACCTCTTTGTACTAAGAGGTCACTGTGTTTGTCCAGGGCATTCAGTATTTTTATTGGAAAGGTAAGGTTGGAATAGGTTGTTTTTTTTTTTAACTGTATGGCTGGAGCGATAGCACAGCGGGTAGGGCGTTCGCCTTACACGCGGCCAACATGGCCGACCTGAGTTCGATTCCTCCGCCCCTCTCGGAGAGCCCGGCAAGCTACCGAGAGTGTTTGATATGCCAGACACAGTAACAACAAAGTCTCCAATGGAGACGTTACTGGGCCCGCTCGAGCAAATCGACGATCAACGGGAGGGCCTTTAGGGCTGGAGCGCTAGCACAGCTGGTAGGGCGTTCGCCTTACACGCGGCCAACATGGCCGACCCGAGTTCGATTCCTCCGCCCCTCTCGGAGAGCCCGGCAAGCTACCGAGAGTGTTCGATATGCCAGACACAGTAACAACAAAGTCTCCAATGGAGACGTTACTGGGCCCGCTCGAGCAAATCGACGATCAACGGGAGGGCCTTTAGGGCTGGAGCGCTAGCACAGCTGGTAGGGCGTTCGCCTTACACGCGGCCAACATGGCCGACCCGAGTTCGATTCCTCCGCCCCTCTCGGAGAGCCCGGCAAGCTACCGAGAGTGTTCGATATGCCAGACACAGTAACAACAAAGTCTCCAATGGAGACGTTACTGGGCCCGCTCGAGCAAATCGACGATCAACGGGAGGGCCTTTAGGGCTGGAGCGCTAGCACAGCTGGTAGGGCGTTCGCCTTACACGCGGCCAACATGGCCGACCCGAGTTCGATTCCTCCGCCCCTCTCGGAGAGCCCGGCAAGCTACCGAGAGTGTTCGATATGCCAGACACAGTAACAACAAAGTCTCCAATGGAGACGTTACTGGGCCCGCTCGAGCAAATCGACGATCAACGGGAGGGCCTTTAGGGCTGGAGCGCTAGCACAGCTGGAAGGGCGTTCGCCTTACACGCGGCCAACATGGCCGACCCGAGTTCGATTCCTCCGCCCCTCTCGGAGAGCCCGGCAAGCTACCGAGAGTATTCGATATGCCAGACACAGTAACAACAAAGTCTCCAATGGAGACGTTACTGGGCCCGCTCGAGCAAATCGACGATCAACGGGAGGGCCTTTACCTTTACCTTTTACCTTTAACTGTATGGCAGCTTTGAAGTGTGGATGTGACTGCTGAGGCTTCTGAAACTACAGGGAGATGGGGGGGTGGTAGCCCATCCTGAGACAGAGTCCAGCTGGGGGCATGGTGGCAATGTTGAATTGTGGAAGCAGGCGGCTACCGGTAGGGCTCTGCTTGGTGGCCACCAGGCTGACTTGCTTCCTTCTCATTTACCCTGGTCTGTTCACCCTTGTGTGGGTCTGAGATTAACTGTGGCTTTTGATCTCTTTCGAGATTTTTTTTTTTTTGCGGGGGGGGGGCTCACCCCCAGCACTCAGGAATTACTCCTGGTGGTGCTCAGGGCACCATATGGGATGCTGGGAATCAAATCTGGGTCGGCCGCATGCAAGGCAAACGCCCTACCCCCTGTGCTATCACTCCAGCCCCTCTTTTGAGATTTATGGGTCTCTGAAGCCGGGCGATAAATGAGCTTGGATAGATGAGCTGGAGGTGGTTTGTGAGTATGGCTCCCATGTACCTAAGTTTTGGCTGTTGAATTTCTTGGGAAACTTAATCCGGAGTTGTTGGGGTTTGGCCAGAGGCACAGTGACAATTTTGAGTTATCAGGAAGCCTGACGGTATTATCAGGCTGCTGGTGCACTCGCCCTGCAGGTACAGGTTAACCTGCTGGCGGCACCGCACCCCCCCCCCCCCATCTTGGCCAAATGTTAGTCTGTCAGGACACCTATCTAAAGGCACTTCATTTAAAATTAAACTCTTCCATACACCAGCTCTACACCATTTCATTTTTCACTAACAGTACTAGCTACTGCCTACACATTGGTTATCTGTTTGGCTATTGTCTATTCTCAAGCATGCAGATCAGCTGCAGAAAGTCAGGAACGTAATATGTCCTTGTAAACTTTCATAGCGCAGTAAAGTAAAAGCAATATGACCTCGTTTTTTCTTTTTTTGTTTCCCCTACTTGAATGTTATGTGACCTTTTTCCCAAAAGCTGGGTGTTTATTTTCTCCCCCTGCTCCTATGCTGTTTTATAAACTGACTGAAGAAAGGAGTAGGGCAGCTGCTGTTACCAAGTAGAAAAGTGGGAAGTATTTTTCTTTTATTGGAGAAATTGACCTCTTTCTTCTATAGCTGGGGGTACGGAGCCCAAAAGACTATGTGGTCACTGCACTGTGGCTTCTCTTGCAGGTTTTGGTGCCTGGGACCACATCTGCAGTATGAGATGCAGAGCCTTCCGGCGGATGCAGGTGCTCCCTCTGTCTCTTGATCCTGGTTTATCTTGTGTTACACTGTTGGCATCCACACGCTCTGATTGTCCACTGACATGGGAAGAATCCCAGCTCACGCTCAGCCCCAGGAGTGCAGGGAAGCATTCCCAAGAGGATTTTCCTTTCTCCTTGTAGTGTCTGCCGGAGGGGCAGGCAAACTGGTTTTCTACTTGTAGTTTTTTTTTTTGAAGCAGACCCTTTTCAAGGCTTAGTGGGGGGGAGGGGGGACAGGCAGGGCTGCCACTCCTAGGTCCACTCAGCCACATGAGGAGCCCCACGCTGGCACTGCTGGTCAGAGGCAGCTAGCCCGATGCCATGAGCAGAAACGCAGACTCTGAGGCTTTGAGTCCTCATTGCCTTTGGCCCCTTCATGGGCTCCCGGAGCTTAAACTGAAGGCTCCCCGGATTTTGCCTAGAACTTTGTGTTTGAGAATAGCACATTCACTTGCATAGTTAGCGCTGACCTGCAGTTTCTCACTGGTTTTTGTCACCAGGTCTTTGTGGGTCAGTCTCTCAGTCTGCCGGTCATGCTGTGTCCCCTGGCCCCCCTCTAGGGTCACCTGGTCATCTTGCAGCTCCTCCTTTCCTGGGCAGGGCTAAACATGTTCTTGGTGACTGCTGCTTGTTCTGGCTCACAACCTGTTTCTTGGAAGTCTCCACCTCTCCTCGTCTCTGAGCTGCTAAAAATGCTGCTTGGCCTCGGCCTGGGTCACCATGGTGCCCCTCTTAGTGCCCTGTCACTGTGTCCCAGTTACGCTCAGCCATGGGGGGATTGGGGGGGGGCGATCCATCCACATTGTGACTACCTGCTGCTGTCACTTGGCGCAGCAACACTTCGGACTGTAGCTGCGTGTCCTGTCCGTGGGATGATGCAAACTCTCCCACGGTGTTTCCAGGTGTGGGATGCCTGCTCCGAGGCCCTGATACTGTTCGACAAAGAAAACTTGGATGACATGGGCTACATAGTGGAGAACGACGTCATCCTGCACGCTCTCACCAGGCAACTGGAGGCCGTGTCAGGTGTGTGGGGGAGCCCCTGCCTGCCTTCCCCTTTTGTAGAGAGGTGCTACTGCTTTCAGTGAGTTCAGAAGAAGGGAGTCCTGTGAAGTCTGAATGTCCACCACAAAAAATGTCTTATTAGCAACTCAGGCTTTGTGTTTCAAACTTTATTTGGTGTGATTTTTTTCCCCCCTTTGGCTAGGGGTATGGGGGGCTGTTGGTCAGACCTGGGGATTATCGGGGGTTACTCCTGGCTCTGCACTCAGGAATTGCTCCTGGCAGTGCTCAGAGGAACATATGGGTGCTGGGGATCGAGCCCAGGTTGGCCACGTGCAAGGCAAACACCCTACCCGCTGTACTATCACTCCAGCCCTATTTTTTTTTCTTGTATTACAAAATTCACCCATTTGAAGTGTGCAGCTCATTGATTGTAAATACTCACATATTCCCACACTTTTTAGTCTAAAAGCACATGAAAGCACGCCTCTGGTGACACTAGAGGAGAACAAACAGCAGGAGGAGGAGTGCATTGCCTGGTACAGGCTTAAAATTCCATGAAAGCATGAATGTTTGGGAATTGGGGCCAGAGCAGTAGTACAGAAGGTGGGGCACTTGCCTTGCATGAAGCTGACCCGGAGTAGTTCCCAAACCTGGATTCGTTTCCCAGCATTCCATATGGTTCCCCCACCATACCAGGCGTGATTCCTGGGTTAGAGTCAGGGTAGCCCTTGAGTGCTGCGAAGAGTGGCCCAAAAGCAAGCAAACTAAAAAGATATTTGGAATCTTACACGAATTATCCCTTCAGTTACTTACCAGCCTACAGACTTTTTTTTTTTTTAAATATGACCTATATGTGGCAGTATTTGGGGTATACATGGCACCAGGGATCAAACTCAGGATCTTGTACATCCTAGCTGTGTGCTGTACTTCTCCATGGTTAACTTTTAGATTTTGCCTTGTTTAGGGGTAATTGATGGGTTGGAGCGATAGCACAGCGGGTAGGGCGTTTGCCTTGCACGCAGCCCACTCAGGCTGACCTGGATTTGATTCTTCCACTCCTCTTGGAGAGCCCGGCAAGCTACCAAGATATCCCGCCCGCACAGCAAAGCCTGGCAAACTACCTGTGATGTATTCGATGTGCCAAACACAGTAACAAGTCTCACAATGCAGACGTTACTGCATTGTGAGACCGCTTGAACAAAACGATGAACAACGGGAGGACAGAGCTACAGTGCAGTGCAGTGCTAAATGACAGCTACGACCTTGTTTTAGTTTAGTTAGAGCTTTTCCCTCAGCTTATGTCAGTTGCTTTTCTAACAATTTGCTTTTCTGTTCTGACCTCTCTAGACCGAGTAACAGTTCTCTACCGGAGCAAAGCAGTCGGCTACACCTGGCCCTGTCCGTTGACTATGGCAGACTCTAGCCCATGGGTTCTCATTACCCTAGATGACGGCAGCACGCTCCAGGCCAAATTGTTGGTAGTTGAAGAGTCTTTATTTTGTTTGGGTTTTGCTTATCCTAGATTTTAGGGCCTTCAGTTTCAGAGCAAAATCGTTATTTAATTTTAGGCAAGGTTTCTAATTACACACACCCCTAAAGCGATCTCCAGTTGTTTTACTGGTACCTGAACGATAGTACAGAAGGTAAGGCGCTGGTCTCGCAGGTGATCAGGCCAGGTTTGAGCCCTGGCATCCCATACGGTCTCCTGATCACTGCTAGGAGTAATTCCTGCGTGCAGAGCCAGGAGTAACACTGGGCATTGCTGGGTATGGCCCAAAAACTTTTTTTTTTTCATTCTTTAAAGATGATTTGTAATCCTGTGCTGGAAGAAACCCCATGGGTCATCTTAGTCAATGAAGACTGAGTGGCCTCTTTGGGCCTGTAGAAATAGCAGAAATTGTTCTTTTCCCTCTTGGGGGGTCCTGTGCTTGCTGTCTTATTGGCATCTCCGTTTTCTCTCTCCCTGCTTAGCCATCCTTTTACATAGTAGTACTCCCAACCTGAGATCAGGAGCCATTCAGCTATCGGGCCTGCCTCATTCTGCACCATTCCTTAAGGCTGTGTAGTTCAGCTGTCAAGAAAAACTGATCGACTTTAACCTGTGGTTAGATGTTCTGTTTATTCTGTTTATTAAGAGGTGTAAGACTGGAGAGATAGATGGTACACTGGGATAGGTGCTTTCCTTGCAAGTTCCATCCCCGGTACTACAGATGGTCCCCCGGGCTTCTTCAAGAGTGATCCCTGAGCACAGAGCCAGAGTAAGACCTGAGCAGAGCTAGGTCACAAGGTATGGGCCCAAAGAATAAAAGAGGTTGTAAGACTTAGCAGAAACTTGTCTGTCTGCAGATTGGTGCAGACGGTCACAACTCGGAAGTACGGCGGGCTGCAGGAATCCAGAATATTAGCTGGAACTACGATCAGTCTGCTGTTGTGGCGACTCTGCATCTGTCAGAGGTGAGAGCCTGCACCCATCACAGGGACACTGCTCATGTCTCATCCTCAGATGTGTTTCTCACCAGCTTCTCTCTGTTGTAGGCCACGGAAAACAATGTCGCTTGGCAGAGATTTCTTCCCTCCGGGCCCATTGCTCTCCTCCCGGTAGGCAGCCCTGCTGGCCCGTCTTGTTCAGATATGGCCGACCTTTCTCTTAGGCCTTCACTTTCTGCCAAGCCTTTATTTTTTGGCTTCAAGGAAATACTCAGGCTTGTTTGGCTCCTCCTCTCATCTCACTGGATTCTTGAAAGGCCCCAGTGAATGTTTTGGTCCTGAGTTTGGACGTTCTTCCTTTGAAACAGCTCTCAGACACCTTGAGCTCCTTGGTTTGGTCCACATCCCACGCACACGCAGCAGAGCTGGTCAGCATGGAGGAGGAAGAGTTTGTAGATGCCATTAACTCGGCCTTTGTGAGTATCACTGTCTTCCGCTGACGTATTGTGAGAGAGGCAGCTTTGACTAAGACGGAATAACCAAGCAGCTGTCTCCTTTTAACTATAAACTGGGCCTGCTGATAGCACAGGGTAAAGGCACTTACCTTGCATGCGATCTCCACCACTGCATATGGTCTTCTGAGCACAACCATCTATGGGCCCCCTCCTCCATCCCCCTACCCCGAAAACAAAAAAACACCCCAAAAGACTAACTATACATATGATCTGGAGAAGGGCCTTCAGGGAAATGCAGAACGAGTGAATAACTGCTTCTTGGAGGATTGGGGGCTGCTGTTCTGCTGACTCAAATAGTTACATGGGTGGTGGTTAGCATTAGCCCTATTTTGTGCTATCGTTCTAATGATTTTAAATGAGAGAATTTATGGAAAATGCTTGGAGCTTACTAGGTATGAGTGCTCAGTTATCAGTAATAATTTTATTTGTGGAGTAGACACAGCTGCTAGGTAATTTGGGCATCCGTGTCTCTGGAGCATAAATGCCATATTCATTTAAATACATTAGTAATGACTAGTTAGTACTCACTGAGTGTACTTTTAGTATATGCCAGGTGCAGGTGTTACAAATATGTTTATATCCTTAATTCAGTAAACCTTTAGGCTAGGTACTACTGTTAGGCTTCTTGAGAGAGGGCACCCTGTAACCTGCCTGGGCTCTGAAATGCGCTGGCCCCTATACCAGTGCCTGTACCTTCCAGATCAGCTGCTGCACTAGTGATTTCTCACTGGTGTATGATGAAGAATTTCAGCCCCTTGCTCTAGATGGGTCGGACCTGAACATACTAAAGCAACTCCAGAAACGCCACCCTCCCTGGGTTGCCTGTCACCTGTCCATGTGCATGACTTTACGCTGCATCATTCAGTTGCAATTACAAGGGCCTTCTGTAAGAAGACTCTGAGCTGCAAATAGTGGGACAGACCCTACAGACAGTGGGGAGCCTTTCCTTGGGTGGGTAGTGTGTGTGTGTGTGTGTGTGTGTGTGTGTGTGTCCGTGAGAGTGGAAAATCCAAGGGCTGGAAGGCAGTGCAATTTGGCTTGATTATAAAACCCTTGGGGATGGGTGGTAAATTGACCCCGCATTTGTTTTTTGTTTGGGAGCTTGTCACTTGTGGTCCATGTCATTTTAAGCATGTTACATTCAGGCATGACAATTGACACAGGATTTTTCTTGTGGGCCGTAGGCATAGTACAGTGGGCAGGGCGCTTGCCTTGCATGTGGTTGACCCTGGTTTGATTCCAGGAATCCCATACTGTCCATCAAGCACCGCCAGGAGTAATCCCTGAGCATGACCAGAGGTGGCCCACCCTCCAAAAATTTCTTTGTTGAATTTCTTTTTTGTTTTTGTTTTTTGGGTCACACCTGGCAATGCATAGGGGTTACTCCTGGTTTTGCACTCAGGTATTACTCCTGGCGGTGCGCGGGGAACCATATGGGATGCTGGGAATTGAACCTGGGTCAGCCATGGGCAAGGAAAACGCACTACCCGCTGTACTATCGCTCCAGCCCCTTTGTTGAACTTTTGACTCTTAGTCACTGATAGAATTTTTACACTGTTATATTTGTGGCTGATACTTCTCAGTGGAGCGATGCTAACCACACAGACTTCGTTGACTCAGTGAGCACCTTGCTGCAGTCTACGATTGCCTTTCTGAAGCCTACCAAGGTCTCTGCACGCCAGCTGCCCCCAAGCGTAGCCAGGGTGGATGCCCAGAGCCGAGTACTGTTCCCCCTTGGATTGGGACACGCTGCTGAGTATGTGCGGCCTCGCCTCGCACTCATTGGGTAAGAGTAAGGGCCAGGCTGTGCATTCCCTTCTCACTCAGCTGCTGGAGGCGGCACCTGGACTTTGCTTTCCCACAGGGACGCAGCCCACCGAGTACATCCGCTGGCAGGACAAGGGGTCAACATGGGCTTTGGGGATATCTCCAGTTTGGTTCATCACCTCAGTGCTGCAGCCTTCAATGGGAAAGACTTAGGTAAGGGGCCAGGGCCCTTAGAGGAGTATCCAGAGGTCAGATGGTTCCGGAATCAGGCCCTCTACAGTCAGACGTGAACATAAATATATCTGGGACACTAGGAAAGAAAACGTTACAGTTGGGTAGGAGTGTAACCCTCACTCTTCCTTCCAGGCTCTATGAGCCACCTCACACGTTATGAAACAGACCGGCAGCGTCACAACACTGCTCTTCTCGCTGCCACCGACCTGCTCAAAAGGCTGTATTCCACCAAGGCCACTCCGCTGGTGCTGCTCCGGTCGTGGGGCCTGCAGGCAACGAATGCAGTATCTCCCCTCAAGGTAAGATAGCGCTGCCTCCTCAGACCTTGAATGACTTGCCAGTGACTCCTAATTTCTCTTATTTATTTTTCCTTTTCATTCTATAACCAGTGCTCATTGGAGTCACAGACTTTGTGTTCATGCACATCTTATTTTTGGTTGTCGTGCCTGCTTGGGTCATACACTTTTGCTTGTGCAGTTTGTTGCTGTACCACTGCTGTGGTCATATTGGCATGTGGGAGTGATGCAAAGGATCAAATTTACACCTGCAAGGCTGGCACCATATTGCTAGTGTTAGGTGGCCAGAGATCTTGGTGGAGCCTCCAAAGTGGCCACTAGCCTGAGCTCAGCTGCCAGCTGAGACACACAAAGACAGGACAGATTATTTCAAGGTTTTATTCACACACCAAACCACACTCATACAAGGGACTCAGCAAGGGCATTCATACAAGGAACTCAATGCTAAGAGCACTAATAAAAGGGATTCAGTGCTAAGGGCACTCATACAAGGGATTCAGCGCTGAGGGTTCACAAGCCTAAGACTTGGAATTCTGAGCACTAGAGACTCAGCACTGAGGGTTTGCAAGCCTGAGAGACTTGGAACCCCAATCGCCCCCCGGGAGAGGATTTTAAGCCCTATGCCTTCCTGCCTACATGCCTGGGTGCATGCCAGCATGTCTGGGTGCCCCCTGCCAGGTGCATTCCCACACACAGCCTTGAGCAAGTGGGAGGGTACAGAAGCGAAACAGAGCGGTTAACACAACTTTTTACATTTACTTGAATCATCCTTGTTTTCTGTGGTCAGATATCTCGGTGTGTATGTCCATGCCCTTGGGGGGGTCTGGCATGTTTTCTTACTAGGTCGTAAACTTATGACCCTACGGCACAAAATGGAGTCCTAGTGGTTCTTTAACTGAGAAATGGTCTAAATAAAGTAATAAAGTAACTAAAAAATGGTCTAAATAAATGGTCTAAATAAATGGTTTAAATAAATAAAGTTTTTAAATAGCAAATTGACACTTCAACATTTCTTTTGTTTTGGGGCCATACCCTGTGGCTCTAGGCTTGGTGTTCTGTACATAGCGGTCTTCTGGGATTGAACCTGAGCCTCGCGTGTAAAACATGTTCGTCAGCTCTTTCAACTATTCTTCTGACCATGCTTCAGTCACTTTGAAATTTTTAAATCTTTTATTCCCCTTCCCTGGTACTTCAGTGTCCTGGTATCAACTTTGTTTCATTTTTCCCCCAGGAACAGATTATGGCCTTTGCAAGCAAATGAATGCTTCTGTGGAGATGACTTTGATGAAAAATCAACATTCTTTTCCACGATGTCACATATTTTCAATAACACCTTTTCATATTTAATAAATGGACATTAGAATTTTCCAGTCTTCTCTTCTTACTGCGCATTTGTGGCTCTGATAATGAACAATAACTTTTTGTGAGGAGGGATCAGTCAAACCAAGAAAAAAACTCCAAAGAAAGACTGTGATTTGGTTGAAAAGAGCTTTTTATTACTAAAACAAAAATGGCTGAGGTACTGTCTCATTTATTTTTCACTTGTTAACAACTTAGTGAACGGGAGTTATACAATTTGTATTTTAATGCTGGTAATAAATTTATAGTTTCAAAAATAATTATAAATATTCAACTTATTCATATTTGTTAGAGTTGCTGTTTTAGAACTATAAATGTTAAAATGCAGATTAAATATAAATTGTTTGAATCTCCAGGTGCACTGAGCTTTCTGAAAAGAAAGCCACAATGTATTAATGCTATTTATTACTTTGTCATCACAGCACCATATTTGTTTTACTTACGGTTTCTCTCTGAGACATACACTCTGTTCAGTAATAAAATAAATAATTTAATTGCACAGGTTTACAAGTCTCTGGAACCAGGTCAAAGGGGGAAAATTCTAGCAGCAGAATGTGTTCATGTTTAATGGCAAACTAATGGCCAGGTGGGGAGGGTGTTTTAAAAAGCTCACTTCACAGTACCAGAGATGACTCTTGAAATTTTTTTTATTCATTAGATTTGTGGACTAGAAAAAATATCTTTTCAAAAAGTCTGATTTAAATTCTGTTCTCTCTCTCTCTCCCTTCCTCTCTCTCTATATATATTTACACACACACACACACACACACACACACACACTCGGTTCATGGACTACACCTAGTTTATGACCCAGACCTGACCATGCTCAGGGAACCATATGTGGTGCTAGGGATTGAATTAGGGTCAGCAGCATGCAAGGCAACTGCTTAAAACCCCTGTTACTCTCTCTCTGGCCCTCAAATTTCTAGGAATAATTTTCGAAGCAAGAAAAATTTTTAATAGAGGGGAGATTTTCAGGCAACTGCAGATTTATAAGCTACTGGAATTTAAAAAAATGACAGTGTCACAAACCATCCTGGCATCTCTGGAAAGATGTGCTCAGTTAACAAACAGTATGGCAGCTACTGTGAAAAGCTGTGTGCCAACTGGCAGAGTCCACAGTCCAACTGTAGGAGAAGAGGCCATCTTCACAAAAAATGGAAAGACAGGCCCAGTTAGGAGCATGTAGCCTGTTCCAGGAGTATGCAAACCAAATCAAGCAAGGCAGGAACTTTAAGGCACACCGTGCAAGGAGAAATAACCCATGAATCTTTTTCACACGACAATTAGAACATACAAACAACATCCACAATATACCAGGCCATGTCCTCAGCTTAAGAAATAATATAAACATTTACAGAAAAGAAACTTTACTGGCAATTATTAGAGTCTAGTACCCCTAAAGAAGATCTAAAAGGGGTAGGACAATCTCCTCAGAAAACAATTCTCATTGCAATTTCTCCTATAATAGATAAATTGGTTAATTCTTTTTTTTTAAAATCAATATCAGTACATACAGATACTGCATACAGGTGCATTTCTGGAGTAAGAGTGTATTAGTTGAAGAGTCCTGAAGGTCTGTGGAGTGACCGACAGAATCTGCTAAACAGTTCCTGGCCCTTGCTTATGAGCTCCAGATGTGCTATTTGAGAACCAGGAGCAGTCAGGCTGAAGGAAATGTTAGTGAACACAGTTTACCTCCGGGGAAAACAATTCGGCTTCTACTAAAGGAAGCTATTTCTCCCTAGACATGGAACAAGGTTTAGCGTGTGATGACTTTTTTGATCGTCTAGAAGTCATAATATATATGTTGAAAGAAAGGCCATAAATAACTTGGAAGTTTTTTAGAAGCAGAAAAACTGTAAAGAAAGCATTCAAGCAGAACTAAGACTCCTGAGCAGACAAGTGGGTTTCAGCTATGAGGAATTTAACATTCATATAGTTACCAAATGGGATGAGATGCCTAGAAAGAAACTAAGGATGATGTTAATAACCTTTGCAATGGGCAAAAGTCTGGAATAGATCCTTGGGCCATTTCCAACTCGGAAGATTCTATTATTATGTTGTATGGGGCAGGGGGGGCTGGAGCAATAGCACAGAGGGTAGGGCATATGCCTTGCACGTGGCCAACCCGGGTTCGATTCCTCCACCCCTCTTGGAGAGCCTAGCAAGCTACTGAGAATATCTTGCCCGTATGGCAAAGCCTGGCAAGCTACTGTGACGTATTCGATATGCCAAAAACAGTAACAACAAGTCTCACAATTTGTTTTGAGACATTACTGGTGCCTGCTTGAGCAAATCAATGAACAACAGGAGGACAGTGCTACAGTGCTATGGGGCAGGGCAGTGGGTACCACAACTTGCAGTACTCAGGAATCATTCCCAGCAGGTCAAGGGAACATATGGGGGTGCCGGGGAGTATCATGAGGATTCTTATCGAGTTAAAAAGAAAATCTATCTTGGGGCTGGAGTGAGAATACAGCAGGCAGGGCGTTTGCCTTGCATGTGCCCGACCTAGGTTCGATCCCCAGAACCCCATATGATCCCCCAAGCACCGCCAGGCGTAATTCCTGTGCATTGCTGGGTGTGACCTAAAAAGCCAAAACAAAACAAAACAAAACAAAACCCTTACATTTAATTAAAATGATGAAACCTAAGGACTGAGAGAGTAGCTCGATGACAGAGCTCTATCCTAGTATTTGTGAGGTTCTGGGTTTGATCCTAGATACTACCAAAAACCCCGCAAAAAACAAATAAAAACCACAAAACTCCTAAAACTAGGGGGGATGAGAAAATAGAAGACACCTAGTTCAGATGTTACATATTGACTAAGTGGAACAACAACAACAACAAACAAACAAAAAAATCAGAATTCCAAAACTAAGTTTCTCTAGGAATGAGTGTGGGGGCCAGATATGATAACACCGATCTATATGAGAGCTGAGAGAGAAGAGAATCTATTGTGAGAGCTGCAAGTACGGGGAGACAAAACTGGAAACAAGTCAAAAATATGAAACCAAGGCAAGCCAGACTACAGGATGATCTTAGCTCTGTGAATGTTTGGGCTTGGGTATGTGGACCAAGAAGCAGAAGATGGTCATAAAAAAAAGCACACGATATTTTAGGGAAAATAATCACAAGAGCTCCAAGAAAGAAAATCCATTATTCTAATAAGGATCAAAATGACCAATGTGTCATCAAAGGGTATGAGAACCCCTGACATTAGACAATTAAGACATTAGCGAAAATGAGCAGGGGCTACACAGGAAGGAAAGAGACTGTTACAAACTGAATAAAAAGGCAAACTAAAAGGGACTGTTACAAAAATTGAAATCTTTGAACAGCACAGCCATAGATCTCTTCACAGACCAAGCTATGTAAGGTACAGTTTGTAGAAAGGGCTGAGGATGACACTTCACTATCAATACATTAGCCTGAAGGAAGTACTGGAGCTAAAATACACACAGAGACTGCAATGAGGTGACTAAGTGTTCATTAGTCCCAGGATTTTTTTTTTTTTTGTCAATTTGGGTCAAGATGGCTGTGTATAAGGTAAACACCCTACCCACTGTATTATCGCTCCAGTACCCTAGTCCCAGGATTGACTAATAAACCGGTGAGAAGGTAGATTTATATGAGAGTCAAACTCTCCAAAACACATCCCAGATACTGGCACGCCACCTTCTTTGGGGGGGGGAGGAGAGGGGGAGGCACACCCAGTGATGATCAGGGGCTACTCCCGGCTCTGCATTCAGGAATCACTCTTGGTGGTGCTCAGGGACCACTCATGGGATGCCGGTGAGCAAAACTTACTTTGTGCAAGGCAGCTGTTGAACTATCCTCTAGCCTCCGTGCCTCTGCCCTTAAGGCTGGGATCTGTCTGCTTCGGAGCTGCTCTCTAGCCTGCTAACTTAGTTGGTTGGCTGAAGCTAGCACAAAGCAGTATGACAAATTTCAGACATGGTACCTTTTTGTTCCCTTGAATTACACATGAAAAAGCAAAACCAGGTAAGTTTCTCTTTTGCAAAAGGGTGGTGGGTAGAAAGAACGGTGAGGTGGAAAGTGTATGAGAAAAACAAGTCTAAAATCAGTAGCTATGGGATTACAACCAGTTCATTTAGTGTGAAAGAGGACAATTCAAATGTTCAAAGGAATGAGGCACTAAGTTGAAATGAGATTTTCTTTGGTTCCCAGGGTCTGTCCCTGGGCCCTCCAGGTTAATTCCACAGCCCACAGCGATTCTTTCTGGTTCCCAGTGAGAGAGGAATCTCAACTATTTAGACTCTAGTGCCAGCTCTAGACACAAGAGTAATGACATAACAGTTCACATTTGATGTGTAAAATTAATAAAATCCAAAGGGCAAGACCCATTGACAAAGCCCATCGACAAAGCTGATGAAGTCAACTGGGTTCCAGTCAAGGCAGCTTCCCAAGGCTGGCTAGAATGTGATGGGGTCTTCGCTCCTCCCCTGACAAAGGCAGCAGCAAACGTGGCCTCTGAGGAAGGGTGTGGCCTCAATGTGTCATGCCCAAAGACTGCAGCAGGTGAAAAGTCGCCCCCAAGGCCCAGCCCGTTTCTATATTGTTCACCTTCTTTGTGAGCTGTTAGGGAAGAAACAAACAGTTCACATTTTCATCCAATTTTCAACATTAGCAACCAGGACACAGACAATATCTGCAAAGATAATCCATGGGCAAATCAAAATTTGGATACTCCATTCACTCTGTTTCTTTCCTACCTTGTCCTACTGGACTCATATGGACTTCTTCATTTGTTTTCATTTTGGGGACACAACCAGCAGTGCTCAGGGGCTCCCCCTGCCTACACTCAGGAATTACTCTTAGTGGTCCTTGGGGGACCGTATGGGATGCCAGGGATCGAACTGGAGTTGGCTGTATGCGAGGGAAGCTCCCGACCCCCTGTATTCTGATTCCTCACACCAACTATTTGATCTCTATATTTTTGGCTCAGGACATGCTTTCACTCAGACTTTATAAACAAATTTCTAGGCAGGCAAGTTTCTTTTTAATCCTAAAACCAAGTATTATATTCTGCTTTCTAAATCACCTAGTTTTCAAAAGGCAACTTATGATGGAATATTAATGGACAGAACTGGGAAGAGGCATTTAGAGAAAGAAAAGATTAAAATCTCAATTAATTCATACTTCATAAGCAACTGCTTCGTCTCAAGCACAAATAACCAACCAAGATACTAAAGACATTCTAGGTCAATTTGTGCCTCAATTAGTACAATAATCTTGGGTAAAAAATTTAAAGCCTATTTTCTCAAAACAAGGGGATTAGATTAGAGTTCATCAAATTATTTTCTTTAGAATTCAACAGGTTTCTTGAATGTGTTTCAAAAGAAAAAAGGAAAGCCAACATGTGAAGGCATTTCAGCTCCCCAACCTCTACCTCTACCAGACTTTAGTCTCAGTTTTACTGGCATTCTATCTATCTGCTGACGATGCTACCATTACATACAAACATTCTATATGAACATTTATAAAATGTTAGAATGGATTAAATTTTGTTTCTAACGTCTTGTAACAATAGTTTTCTGTTAAATTGATGAAACCTTATTCTGCCAACAACTCAGAAGAATACATACTTCATGACCTTGAGCTTTAATCAGAGACACGTGAATTAAATGGGAGTACTCCTCAGCAAATGTCCTTCCTCTGCCCTCAGGACTGCACTAGCAGACTAGGTATATTGTCTATCCCAGACTGCTATATTATTTACTGAGGAAATCCTCCAAGTAGTGCTCACAGGACTCAGGAACCACTCTTGATGACACTTGGCCAACCAAGCTGCACAGCTCAATGCTAGGACCCTATGCAATGCAGAGCTGCCTGAGTCGGGCTCGCTGCGGACCACAGGTGTACAAGGGCATGCTTGGCAGCCTCCAGAGGCATACTCGGTGGTATTCGAGGGGTCATGTGGTGCCAGCATGTGATTGCAGGTAACCACTTAACTATCTCCCAGATTCTCTACTCCTGATTAAAACTCTTTTTTTTTTTTTGAGGGGGAATTTTTGGCCACACCCGCAGTGCTCAAGGGTTTCTCCTGACTCTGTAGTCAAGAATTATTCCTGGGGACCATATGAGGTGCTAGGGATAAAACCTGGTTGGCCACATGCAAGTCAAATAACCTATCCACTGTACTCGTTTCTCTGCTGCCATTAAAATAAAAACTAAAAGGATGTCAGTATTGGAAATGGCAGAAATAGTCCTTTGATTCCTTGGTTAATATTGAGGCCTAAGCAGAAGAAATTGGTTAAGGGTTTAAGAATGATTTTTGGGCCACTCCTAGTGGTGTTCTATGCTCAAGGATCACTTTTAGAGGGTTCAGGGAACCATATGGAATTCTGAGGATTGAAACAAGGTTGGCCACTTTAAAGTTAAGTATCCTACTCGCTGCACTATCACTCCAGCCCTTAAGATGACTTCTTTTACCTACAAATTTATCCCCAACTGGTACAAAATGTCTACTCAAACAGTAATACCGATCATGGACTTACTAAATGCCAAACACTGCATGTCGTATGCATTATCTCAATTTTCACAATACCATGTTTGTGTTTTGGATGAAGAATCTTAAAATTTGATAGGGGAATCAAATAGCACAAGTTGCAATTAATAGGCTTATAGAATTTGAACCTAATTCAGATCTGATGGCCAATCAAAAGCATGCATTAAAATGAGCCTACTGGCAACTAATGCTTCTGTGTTAAGTAGGGCAAATGGCAATATTCTTGGTAGATACACTTTAACTTCTAGTGTCTTAGTACAGATGAATTTGTGAATTTGTGTAACAGAAACTGAGCAACACAAAATCATCGGGAACTGAGGCAACAGGAAAGGGAAATGTCATTAAGGAAGGTGGGGGTGGGCAATGGCTTTAGAAATAAAATACAGTTCACTTACTTGTTCCCCAAAAACTGCAATGTTGCCTTGTGCCATAGCTATATTTTTGTCATATTGCGTCTAATAGGCTGTAGGTTATTTGAGGGCAAAGTATACCGTACTCATATTTGTAACGATACTATACAATGTTATATGGAAACAAAAATAGATTGAATAGAAGAAAGTCATGAGTTTAGAACAGGTGAGTGTAAATCACTATAGATAAAGTTGAGTTTGCAATGTTCTGAAACAGATCAAAAAAGACAGGGAGACAGAGTGAGCCAAGATTGTAAGTGTAAAGCACATGTAGAATATATATGATCCATGAAAAAAATGGTCTTCATGTCCGTTCCCAAATAAAATTAGCTAACGGGCTGATAAGTCCCTGTAGCTGTCCCCAGGTCTCCCCAAAAAGAGCAAATTTTGTGTCTTGGCCACAGCCACTTCCCATCATTTTGCCCCTGCCCATTAATCCAGTTTCACAGCCTGGTAACCATGCCACCAGTCACATGAGACAGGGTGCAGTATTTCCAACCTGTGTGTTTCCTTTGTTCCTACGCCTGAGTTTTGAAATTCATTTAATAAGCCATTAGTCTTGGGCATGTTAATTTGGACTGCAATCCTTTCTGTGACCCCTGGTAGAGTTTTCTTGGTAATAGCTTAGAATCTGTATGCAATGAAGGAATTCCCCACATTCATGCCTTGCATAATTCCTTGTCCAAAACCCATATTAACATACCACTTAATTCCACCCATGACAACTCTTAATGAACAGGTTCTTAACACTTTATTCCCAACTCCCAAATAACAATTATTCCATAGCTCTCTTACCTGTAAGACAGTGTTCTCTGCAAAGCCAAAACCATCCTTCAGTAAGGCTGTGATGTAACTGAGATCCATGCACAAGAAGGGACTGCCCGAGCTGAAGTTCTCCAGGTTATCACATACTACGGGTGACAGAGGAAAGAGTGGAATTCTAGCTAGCAGTCACCTGAGAGGTGAATGATTTTCTCTAAATACAGACTTACAACAATGAAAGAATTCTCCATCTGCAGGTGCCTGGGAATGCTAGAGGCCTGGACTAGATCTACACTTCCAGATTTATTATTATTATGTTTTCATTTGAATACCACACTGCCATCATTGGAAAGAACCAAGCAGAGAATCAATAGGGGAAAAACAATCTCTTTGTTTATAATTTTTTTTTTTGTCTTTTTGGGTCAAACCCAGCGATGCTTAGGAGTTACTCCTGGCTGTGCACTCAGGAATTACTCCTGGCAGTGCTTGGGGGACCATATGAGATGCCAGGGATTGAATCCAGGTCTTGCCGCATGCAAGGCAAGTGCCTTACCTGTTGCACTATGGCTCCAGTCCCCTACTTTGTTTATGATTTTTAAATCTTTACTGTGGTTCTGTAATTTACAATACTATTACTGGTGGCTTACCATGCACATAATTCCAATACCACACCCATCACCACTATACCCACCTCTCTCCGCTGAACTAGAGCTTTTACAAAACTATAATGTCTGAGAACTTGCACATTTCTGACACTACAGCATATATACTCATATGTGCATGGATCCCAGTCTATTTGCTAAATTTCTATGACCTATTGTGAGACTAACTTTTAAAGTCTCATACATTACTGATGCTGAGGCCCAGATGATAAGGAAATATCAGTTAGCCCTATGTTGGTGTTGCTGGATAAAATCATCTATGGATAAGATTATTTATTTGTAATTTTAACAGACTTTTGCAAGGAAGCCTCTGTAGCTATTTCCCACACACTCTTTAACACTAAAATATTTTAATTTCATTATTCTGCTGTGGTTTTTTTGAGGAGAGGGGGCTACACCTGGCAGTGCCCAGAGTTACTCCTGGCTCTGTACTCTCAGGATTCACTTATGGAACGTGGGGACTATAGGGGGTGCTGGGGACTGAACCTGGGAAGGCACCATACAAGGCAAACACCCTGCCTGCTGTACTCTTTGGTCCCCCTCCCACACTCTTCAATGTCACTTAAATGTCCTTTTGTTTTTGTGGGGGGTTTTGGTGTATGCAACTCCAAGCTCTGTGCTGGGAGTCACTTCTAGTGGTGCTCAGACATGAAAGCTGGGCTTCCCTCATGCAAAGCAGGTTATCAGCATCTCTCTAGCCCCCACTCAATATTATCAATTTCTGGCAAAGACAAAGACAGCCAAGTCTTCTGAAAGGCTTCCTGTGACTGGGCATTGTGACTCACGGCAAGGGCACTGCAGCTGAAAGGTGCAGCCTCACCGGCCCACCTTCAAGGGGTGCCATTGATACTCACCTTCCCTTGCTTTTCTTGCAAAATCTTCAACTTTTAAAATGCCACCCTTCTCATAATCTGAAATTAAACAGAATGTCTAAAAGCTTTTAAAGAAATTAACCTAGGGATACTTATAATAATGAAAAACTGGAAATAAAACTGCCAACATTAGAGGATGTGATAAGCCATATATTGTATGAATGATAAATGCATACAACATAAATTATGTGATCTATACCATTCATCTAAAATTTTATATATGTCTGGGGGCTGGAGAGAAAGTACAGCAGGTAAGGCATTTGCCTTGCATATGGCCAACATGGGTTTGATCTCCGGCATCCCATGTGGTCCCCTGAGCACTGCCAGGAGTATTTCCCAAGTGCAGAGCCAGGAGTAACCCCTGAACATTGCTGGGTGTGACCCCAAAACCCACAAATAATAAAAATAAAAAATAAAATTTTATTTATGTATATTTAATCACAATACATATGCTAATCCATAAGAAAACAGCAAAAATAAGGAAATTAGTCATTGCCACAGGAATGACAAAGTATGTGCATACATTCTCACAGATAAATACAAAACATTACTATTATGATTTTTTAAAAAAAATCAGAGGAGGAAACCACGATGGCTTATAAATATGTTCATTATATTTCATTTGGTAGGGTTAGGCCACACCCTGCAGTGCTCAGGTTTTACTCTTGGCAGTGCTTGGGGGATCATGTACAGTGTCAGGAATGAGGCCACTTTATGCAAGCACCTTACCTCCTATGCTATCTCTCCTGCCCTCTGTTCATTATTTTTATATATTATGTTTTTGTTTTGGGGCCATACCTGGAAATGCTCAGGGCTGACTCTTGGTTCTGTACTCCTGGCAGGCTCGGGGGACCATAAGGGATGCCAGGGATCAAACCACAGTCAACTGCATGCAAGGCAAGAGCCCTAGCTGTGTACCATCGCTCTGGCTCTTGTTCACTACTTTTAATTTAGTGATAATTTCTTGGATGATGCATACATAAGTTAAAACTTATCCAACTGGGGCCTGGGAAGTAGCTCGAAGGGCTGGAACACATGCTGTGCACACTGAAATCCCACATTTGATTCCCAGAACCACCAGGTCCTCTGTGTACCTCTAGGAGCAAGCATCACCAGGTGTGTCCCAAAAACAGAAACAAAAAAATGTAGCAAACTGTACAAATTGCATACATGCATTTTGTCAGTTATATCTCAAAAAATGTTTATTTATGCTAGAGGTTCTAGCTCAATCGCAGGCATTGCCCTGCTTGAGGCCCCCCGCCTCCTCCCCTGCACTGCTGGGTATGAGGAGTGGTGCCCTGAATCACTGGATCACCAGGCCCATGCACTGAACTTCTGTGCCCTCACTGCAGAGCCGAATATTGCTAGGTACACATCTGGGTCCCAGAGGACTGCCAGGGAGATACCTGCCCAAAATAAATATATATGTAAGAGGGTCCGTATTTATTTTTTCAGACCATTTTCTATCTCCAACTGATTCTAAATCATAGTCATGCTTCCACTTGGGTGATGACTATCATGTGACCAGATCACCTCTGACAAGCCTACCGAGAAGCCTGCTTCTACTGTACCTTCCAACAGCCATCCCCACTTTCCTTCTTGGACTGACACTAGGAATGAACTTACCAATCAGGTCGGTTTCAGCAGCTCGATCGTAATAATAAGAAAAAGCATAGAAGGAGCTTCTCCGGACCTCATCTGGCTGATGAAGTTTGCCTTGGACCACCCTCAGCACTTCGGCATAGCAGGGCTCAAAGCCCATTTCCCCTGCCAGGGAAAAAGGGCAGAAGAGACCAGGTGAGAAAAACAGGGAAAGGGAACTCTCTCATAGGTAAGATGCTGGAGCTAATGAGAAGAGCAGGAGGATCAAGGAAAGCAGAAGGCTGAGGCTAAGAACAAAGGGCTGACGAAAGATGGACAAACTTCAGCTGCCTTATCACTCTGAAGAAAGGCACCTCTTCTCCACGGCAGCTCCCCTCCCGTACCAGAGCTCTAGTCACAAATAACCCTGACCAGCTGCCTGACATTATGCACCACAGAATGTAGGAGCGGTATCCAGAAGGTTACCTATTTATCTCACTGAAACATCAAGTTTTTTCTTTGACGTTAATATCCCAATTTTAGGTTATTATACCTTAAGTGTGGGAAGCTGGCCCTTTAACTGACCAAGGGCCTACGTGCCTGTGCTATGTATGGTTATCTTGGCCTATGTGACCCTGAACAAGCGGGTCCTGACTAGTGCAAATCTGGTATTGCGTCTGCTCTGACCGCAGCCTATGAGCTATGTATGGTTGTCTAAAAGAAAACATTTGTCACAGCTAGCCCAAGAATAAGAAGTAACTGACACTGACTAATCAAGCACATAAAACATGTAGTTTTTGTAACTCTCCTAACAATATAAGATATGACCTAGTGATATAATTGCCTTCTGTGATGTAAGCATAGTTTCCTCCGTCGCAAAGTATATAATACCCCTGCTGCCCTGAATAAAGTCCTGTCCTGTCCTGTCCTGTCCTGTCTCTTTATCTGTTTCTAAACTGTACTCTGTCTCTTGTGTCTTGTGTGTTCATTCGGTCGGTCCTTCCCTGCACCTACGGATCCTAGGGCCACCTCCGCGGGCTGGAGAGTGGTCTGGCGGGGCCCCCTGCACTTAAGCAGCTAAAAGTTAACTGACCCTGAACCAGTATCACTCTGCTGTAGACAGTGATCTTTAACGGACTAGAACAGATTCCTAATGGCTGCATCCCATTGGGCCACAGAAAGGGCGGGACATAGAGTGGCTCCTGCCACATTTACAGACACAACTTCCCCCAGAGGCAGACCAAGATCAATTTTGAGTGAATCCGCAACATGACAAGCTTCTCGTGAGCATAGAAAAAAATTTTCCGTACGATTTTTCCAGATTCTGACTGTGAACATCATCCCATGGGGGAAAGTATCACTTGCCTTCCTGGTTGCCACCATACTGGTATTTCACACCCCCAAAGATCCACTCTGCTTCCAACCATCTTGGCAAACATGCACTTCGGAAGGTGTGTCCCTCAATCCCTGAAAGAAATCAGATCCCAAGTAAGAGGCAAAGGTATGAGAGAAAAGGAGGAGCAAAAGCAAGAAGCCAGTGACATTGGATCATCCAAGGTGGATGGTCCTTAAAATCATGAATCGATATATGATTACATCCTATGACAAGAATTCCAAGGCTTTTGTTTTGTGGTGCTAGAGATTAAACCAACCCTCTGAGCCATCTTCCTCTGACAGAAATTCTTAACTCAGGTTTATAGGGTTAATGAATCCCCTGAAACTACAGGGAAATTTATTTATTTATTATTTATTTTTACAGTGAAGTTCTTATGCATCTGGTAAAAGGATCTATGGCTTCCGTCTCATCTCAGATGAATCCAGAAGCTACACCAGGGTAACTCCCTCTTTTCCGCTTTCCTCATCAGGCCGTTGTGAAATGAAATCCACCTGAAGACCCACTATAGACTTGGGAATGACTACGCATTCATCTTCACAAGTCAGGCACCATACAAAGTGTATTAAATGTCAAATCTCATTTCAGGTCATGAAAAGGGTGAAGAAGTTAGTCATCTTGCCCCAAATCATAAAATGGGAACTGAATCCAGTTTTGCCTGACCCCGGAAGCTGAGCCCTGCCTCCTCCCACCACCTGCAATGAGGGATTTGGGTGGGCCCAGGCTATTGAGGAAGCTCCTGCACACACTTCAGCCTGCTGTCCACACACTCAGCTCCTGTATTTAAAAAAAAACAAACAAAAAAAAAACAAAACCACAAAACAGCACTTATTCTGGAAAAGGCTGATAATGAACTCAGGAAACATTATACAGCATGCTTCTTAAATCAGCCCTGTGCTCTGATCACTGCCCAGTTAGGGAAAAATCAATCTAAGTGTCAGTAGCGTTCTCACCATACCCCACCGAGCACAAGCACCCAGACGAACCTTCCGTTTCCAGGGCTCCCAGGGTTGCTAGTCTTGCAGCTTTCAATCCAAATCCCAAGTAACTGTAAAATACAGGACTGATTTATGCAATGCTGCTCCTGGAGTTCTCCAACCTAGAGTTATTTCTTTCAAAACATGCTCAGTCTCTCTCTGGAGGGAAGAAAACCTTGATCTTTGCCCTATTCATCTCATTCAGTAATTTCCACAATTTAGATCAAGGCCATGCAGTAAGAACTTTCCAGAGCTATGATGTAAAGATCAGAGACCCCATGACTTCTTGGCAATCATCCTGCTTCACACCCCCAACATCACCCTGTACCATCCCCAGAAAAACTTTGATTATCTTAGTTCCCAGCCCCACTAGGATCAAATACACGCAGAATTTTAAATAGCTGAAGATCAGCTCAAAGGCACCATCAGCACAGAGATTTTTCTGTCTTTTTTTTTGTTTTGTTTTTTTGGGTCACACCCGGTGATGCACAGGGGTTACTCCTAGCTCTGCACTCAGGAATTACTCCTGGCTGTGCTCAGGGAACCATATAGGATGCTGGGAATCGAATCTGGCTCAGCCATGTGCAAGGCAAACGCCCTATCCGCTGTGTGACTGCTCCACCCCCTTTTCTGTCTTTTCTAATGAGAAGTCTTCTTTTCCAAGTCTTCTCCAGGGAGAACTTGATTCCTTAAATTACAATCTTTTTTTTTTTCTTTTTTGCTTTCTGGGTCACACCTGGCGATGCACAAGGGTTACTCCTGGCTCTGCACTCAGGAGTCAATCCTGGCAGTGCTCAGGGGACCATATGGGATGCTGGGAATCGAACCCGGATCGGCCGCGTGCAAGGCAAACGCCCCACCCGCTGTGCTATCTCTCTAGTCCCAAATTACAATCTTTTGAGGCCAAGAATGGAGACAACTCCTAGGTCCCTTGAGGTTTGGTAAATGGTCAGTGTTTCAATAACAGGCCTTTGGGGATTGACATTGACTCTATAAGGCTGGTCAGATGCAGTAACTGATGTGAAGATGCTTTGAAAAATTTGGAACATCATACAAGACAGAATATCATTCCTCCCTCTGCCCCTCCTCACCTATGTGTATAGAGTTTATAAGTGCTGTTAAACATCTCGAAGGAAGTGAGGTAGTCCCTAGGGGTTTGTTCCAGGGTTTTCTGCAAACCAGAAAAAAGCAAAAAAACACTAGTCAGGATCTGAACTGTTTGATGTTTTTATCATCACCATCCCCATTCCTCCCCCAAAATCAGAGGGGAAGGAGACAAACTGCTTATCTCAAAAGATTTGACAAACAGAGGGACTCTTGTCAGTGAGTGGGCAAGGCAAGGTCACTCAGTAATGAACTGACTTAACTCATCCAGCACATGGCAGAGCTGCTAGCTGAAAAGGGGAACGGCTGGCTGAGCACCCCCACAGGCGTGGATGAGGGGGTTTTTAAGTCACAAGACCTGCAAACCAGACCTTTTTGCACATGACTCACCTCTAACTGGGGCAGGAAGGTGATTTGAGTGGAGGCCCCCCCCAGGTCGAGGGTACCCACAGTCTCCTGGCCATGACCATGCAGCTGACCTGTGAATGAGAGCCAACTCTGACCATCTCTTCTGTATAGCGCAACCCACCTCTCATAAATTTCTCTTCTGCTCTTGTTCAATGGAGAAATACTCCCATGATAACTCAGGGACTCCCACCACAGCTGAAGGCAGCCTCTAACCACCAACTTTCTGTTTGTCTTGTCCTTTCATTTTTAATTACGGGGGACAGTGGTACTCAGGAATGACTCCTGGCTCTATGTTCCACTCCTGGTGGTGCTCTGGAGATCACAGTGCAATGCCAGGGGTAAATCCAGACTCAGTCACATGCAAGCAAGCACCGTGACGCCTATAATATTTTTCCAGTCTCATCTTTTGTTTTTAACAAATCAGGAGAAACCCGTATTTGGTTTCCTGGCCATATATAAGTGATACTGGGTGGGTCAGAGGGGACCAAACTCAGACACGCACTCTACCACTTGAGCCATATTCCTATCCCCAAACCAGTACAGTCTTAAAATAAACTTAGAAAAGTTTTACCTGTAAGAAAATTCACAGTAATCCAAGCTAAGATGCCTGAAAGGGAAATAAAGACAAGATTACTTTTAGGAGCCTGTTCCTGCCTTCTCTGGCTGCATCTTGTGTTTCTAAATCCATTAACATTTTCCTTCTTCCCCATCCTTCCGTTTCCCCTTATCCCATTCTCCCTCTCCTGTTTCCTTTTCTTTAGACTCTAATCTCTGTTCCCATTTTCTTTTTCATTTTTTCCTGTGTTTTATTTTTGAGGAGGGCCACACCCAGTGGGACTCGTGGATTACTCTCAGATCAGTGCTCAGAAGACCATGGGGTGCTGGGGATTGTACTTGAGACTCCTGCATACAAAGCATGCACTCCAGTCCTCTGAGCTACCTCTGTATTCTCCCTGATTCCTTTTATCACATTTTGGGGGTGGGGGTTGTTTTGTTTTTGTTTGGGGGCCACACCGGTCAAGGCTCAGGAATTAGTCCTGGCTCTGCATTCAGAAATCACTCCTGATGGTGCTCAAGGAACCATATGGGATACCAGGGATCAACCCCAGGTCTGAGCACATGCAAAGCAAGCTCCCTATCCTCTGTACTATTGCTACGGTCCCTAATCACATCTTTAATTAATGCCAACCCCTTCCCTCTAATTCATATATCAACACCTCTCCCACCTTCATTGGATCCATCCATGATGCTAACACTGTCATCTGGTACCAAGAAAGGTGACTTCTTGAAGATTTCTTCTACCTAGAAAAAAAGAAAAATTCTGGATTCTAAGGCAATAAAAGCAGTCCCATATTTTGTCTCCTACGAAACTTAGAAAACTACTCTTACTATTTCCTTGGTGGTGGTGGTGGTGGTGGTGGTGTGTGTGTATTAAGGCTAAACTCTCAGGTCAATGTAATAGAATTTTTTTTGTTTTTGTTTTTTTGTTTGTTTCTGAGCCCCACCTGGTTGTGCTCAGGAGTTACTCCTGGCTCTGCACTAGAGATCTCTGCTGGTGGGCTTGGGGGACCATAGGGGATACTGGGGATAAAAACTGGGTTGGCACGTGGAAGGAAAACACCCAAGCCCTAGAATCTTTGCTTGAAATATAATCCTCAACCAACCTATCTCAATTTATAGATGTCTTGACCCAGAAAAAAGTATATACTTGATCCCGACTCAAATAAGAATCTTCTAGTTAAGAAACAAAAAACAAAAAAAAACAAAACAAAAACCTGATAGATTCTACTAAGTTACACAATGGAAGCTGAAGGGTCTTTTACTACTCTGTTTCTTAGATGAGTAGGCAAACTCTGATAATGAAAGCAGGTCTGGTAGCTCCTGAAGCTACAGACAAACTATTCCTTTCCCATTCAATGCTACAGGCTTTTCCCTTCCTGGTAAAGGTGCTCATTGAGGCAGTCTGCTGTCAGTTCCTGACTGATCTTGGCATATGGCTGGAGCCACAAAAGTCTGGACAGAACCAAGATCTATTATCTTGTTTTTCTGTTTTTGTACCACATCCAGAGATACTCAGAAACTACTCCTGGCAGTGCTCTGGGGACCATATGGAATGCAGGGGGAATTGAATCCAAGTCAGCCACATGCAAGGTAAACGCCCTACCCATTGTACTATCACTCCTAGATCTATTATCTTAAGAGATAGTAATGATGATACCACATAAATGTTCTAGACTTTCCATGAAAACCAGTAAGTGATGTGGCTATTTTGGGGAGGAGAGGGGAAGGGTCTGGGCTACACTCTGCAGCACTCAGGGCTTACTCCTGGCTCTGTACTCAGGGGTTACTCCCGGTAGAGCTCATGGGACCATAATCAGTGCGGGGGATTGAACTATGGTCAGCAGTGTGCAAGGCAAGTGCCTTAAATCCTGTACTACCTGTCTATCCCATAGTCTGCTACATCTTATTTTTATGATTGCCATGGAAAGACAAAAGATTTCCCAAGTAGTGGGGCTGGCTATGTGAATCAGTTGTAGCGGGCCTGCCTTGCATGTGTGAGAACACACATTCAACCTCCCAGCACCACACAAAAAATTTTTTTGTTTTGTGTTGGGGTCATACCAGGTAGTATTCAGGGATTATTCCCAACTCTGTGTTCAGGGGATCACTTGCAGTGCCAGAGATGTGAACCAGGGAAACAGTTACCACAGCAAGATGCAAGGCAAATGACTTCCCCCCTCAACTATCTGGTGCCTCAAAAGTTTTCCAGGGGCCTGGAGATAGCCCAGAGGGAGACATACTTGCCTTGCCTGTGGCTGTGGCAGCCATGACCCTGGCTCAAACCCCATCATGCACAAATGGTTCCCTGAGTATTGTCAGTGGTCACTCCTGAGCACAGGGTCAGGAATAGCACCTGACCCCCAGATGTAGCTCCTCCCCCAAAAAGAAAATATTGTTAAAATATTTCCTTTCGAGTGAGACAGTATTTCCTGCAGTAACCTCTGGACCTTGTTTCAACCAGGAAAAGCCAGCCAAGTGATCCATAAATAAGTTTCAGAGAGAAGATAGATAAGCAAATAGGAGTAAACAATGAGCTTCTGCTCTTGCCCTTCCCACTCCGTGCCCTGCCCACAGTTTATCTGCAACACAGCAGTCCCGCAGCCAGTTTTACTTTGCTTTTTTATTAAACAAGTAAAACCTACCATACCTTTTCCTTTATCTGCCTCTTAGGTCCTCTCTCCACTCTCTCAGTAACTTGAGGCCTGTTGTCAATGTTCACTGTTTTGCATTTTTAATTTCTTTTTTGTCTGTTCATCAATCCTATTTGCTTATACCACACACCTGGGTGAAATCCAATTCCAATCTTTTCCTATCTAACTTCTTTCACTTTGGTGTAATCTCCTTGAGTTTCTTCCTTTCTACTACAAACAGCAACATTTCTTTTTTTGTCTGAAGGGATTCAATCCAGGACCTCACAATGCAAAGCATGCATTCGACCACGGAGTCACAACCCTGAGCCTTTTTTAAAAATAACTGAACATTAGGGGCTGAAGAGACAGTATAACAGGTAGGGTACTGACTTTGCATGTGGCCGACCAAAGTTAAAATCCCAGTAACCTCATATATGACCTCCTGAACCCTGCCAGGAGTGATCCCTAAGCACTGCTGGACGTGATCCAAAAACAAAACAAACACAAAATAACTGAGTATCATTCCATTATATAAATACCTTCCTTATCCAGCCATCTATCAAGGGGTACTACAGTTGCTCCCAGTTTTACTATTACAAGTAACATTGCAATAAACATTGGAATGGATATAACCTTATGTGTTAATGTTTTATGATCTTCAGGAAGTTACCCTGATACGCAGGGAGGGAGGGAGGGAAGGAGGGAGGGAAGGGGGGTAAGGAAGGAAGGGAGGAAGGAAGGAAGGAAGGAAGGAAGGAAGGAAGGAACTGGGATATATATATAGATAATGGAATACTACTGTTAGAAGAATGAAATTCTTCAGTTCACTGCAATTTGATGAAACTATAGGGTGTAAAGCAGAGCAAAGTGAGTCAAAAGAAGGACAAAGACCCAATGAACTCTTATATGGGGACTATAAAGAAACACAGTGAGGAAATAAATGATGATCAACAATTATAGAGTCTGCATAACAGAACTGAGCTTGCAGGTATGACACAGGACCTAATAGAGGCTAGAGGCATGCTGGTACTCTGATGACAGACTGTTAAGCGGAAACACCATATTTCTGAAATATCAACCATAACACTATTGTAAATCATAGTACCTAAATTTAAAATAACTAATAAAAATTTTAAGCTAAAAACATAAAGTAAGAATCCACAACCCTCCAACTATGAGAAAAAAGTCAGATGCAAAAAAAGACAATATAAGTTGTTAGATTCCATTTAAAATACAAGAAAAAAGAAAATGGATAATGATTTAGAGCAAATCGGTGGCTATAATTTCAGGGATAAGAGAAACTGAAAATAAAAGGGCACGAGGAAGTTTCTATATTCATCAACACTCATTTAACTATTCACTGAAAATACATTTAATTATGTTATACCTCAAAGAAGTTGACTGAAAACAATTTCTATGATCCTGCTATAGAAAATTAGGAGAGATAAGAATATTTCAGAAAAGAAATACTCGAAATTTTTCAGGAAAAAGCTCTACAAAATTGAAAATAGTATTTAAACATGTAAATAGCTATAACAAGTAGCCAGAATCACAATGCTTTAGTAATGGTGAATTTAAAGGTAGCAGTAACACTCCAAAGGGTACACACACACACACACACACACACACACACACACACACATATACACACTGATGCAGGGAAAAGAACTACCCAACATAAAAGTTTTAAAGAATTACCTCATAGAGAAGAGCCTGGGCTTTCTGTTCTGGTAGTAAGCGAAGTCCTGCTGTTGCCTTTAGGACCACTGGGGTCCTCTTCCAGTGACTTCGGGGAATCGAGTCTTTGGCCACCTCTAAGAGTCCTTGAACAGTCTCAGCACCCTTCAAGAGAGAGAACCCACCCATGCAGGAATCAGTCATTTGAATGGCACTGTTCTAGCCTGAACCATCAACATGGTTAGGGGGATTGGGGGTTAGGGAAACTGAGGAAGCAAAAAGCTCTAACCCTCCTCTGCTATGGGAGGACCACACTCAACCATGCTGGGGGTCTGGGGAGGTGGATCACTCTTGGTGGAGCTTGGGGGAACCATATGGTGCCAGGGAGGGAACTTGGCCTCTAAGAAGAAAAAATTGGGCTATCTCTCCCACCCCAAGGAGTGGACTTCTTTGAATAAAAAGAATTGGTTTCACTTTGGTGAAGTTAATGTACAGATGGGCTGGAGCGATAGCACAGCGGTAGGGCATTTGCCTTGCACGCAGCCAACATGGTCGACCCGAGTTCGATTCCTCCGCCCCTTTCAGAGAGCCCGGCAAGCTACCGAGAGTATCTCGCCTGCACGGCAGAGCCTGGCAAGCTACCTGTGACGTATTCAATATGCCAGACACAGTAACAGTAACAACAAAGTCTCCAATGGAGACGTTACTGGGCCCGCTCGAGCAAATCAATGAACAACGGGAGGACAGTGACCCAGTGACCCAATGTACAGCTACTGTGTATCTCATATAAATTCATTTCCAGCCAAAAGGTTGGGTAGAATAAAGAAAAAATAGGATTTGGAGGTAGAAGACTTGCTTGCTATTCCTGTAGTCTAACTAAGGTCACCTGGCCTTCTGGAACTTGGCTTTCTCAGAGAGAGATGGGAGCAATACTTCATATTACAAAACTGCTACATATACGCATTAGACAAGACAGTGTCAGATGCCGCAGGAATGTAACTACAGCGTCATCCACACCTTCTGACCATGTAAGAATTGAACCTGTTGGATTCTTTTAATTACTATTAGCAGATATGTATATGGTACATGGTAGAGCCTCAATTTTTGGTTAATTTTAAAAAAACTATTACTTTAAATCCACTATTTCTCTCAAATAAATATCTATTCTGACAATATATGGCCCCATCATACTTATTAATAATTACAACACTATTGTCTTAAAATTTTTATCAGTTTCTGATACTGTAGTTCTTTACAACTTCTAATTTTTTTGTTTGTTTGGTTTTTGGGCCACATTCGGTAATGTTCAGGGGTTACTCCTCTGACTCTACACTCAGGAATCACTCCTGGCAGTGCTTTTGGGAGATGATATGGGATGACAGGAATCAAATCTGGGTCTGTTGCAGGTAAGGTAAAGACCCTATCTGCTGTACTATCTCTCCGGCATCCCAACTGTCAATTTTCTATTACCATTTTGTAATAGAGGGGGTTGAGAAGACATCCATGCATTCTGCTCTTCATTTTTGTTTTGTTTGGGGGACCACACCCAGAAGTGGTGGTGGCTACTTCTAGCTCACAGCTTGGGGAGTTGCTCCCGGCAGGTTCTGGATGCAAAGCCTAGGCTCCAGTTCTTGAGCTGTCTCCCTGGTCATCAAGTAATTTTTAACATCAGGTTTCCTCTGGTTAATGATTATGCTTATCACACTGAAGCTTTACATCTAATACCAAAGTTCAACATTCTACTTTATCCTGTTCTATTTCAGTGTGTCCTCTGAACCAAGGGAGTGGTATGTGGTATGAAATAGTCAAGTATGAAATAGTCATGATGAAACTCTATATGCATCCTCTGTACCAAAGATTATGTAAGCATGTTCTCCTGCATACATTCTACAGTAGAGGTATAGTTTTATCCTGCATCAGGAAAAAAAGTAGAGTTCATTTGCTCTACATTCCTTCAATTCTATATTTATACCTCATATCCTACAGAACTGCATGTTTATCTTCTGCATGTGTATTAATGCAGTCAATGGTATCAATTAAAAAAACTTAAATAATAAATGCATAAGGGCAACCTCTTTAAAAATGGTATACATCTGCAAGGTCACAATCTATTTTCTCTCATATTCTATAAAACCCCAGTGAGGTTGGGGTTGTATAATCACTGGTATACAATTACTGTAATTCATATTTGTTGAGGATAGAAAACTGATCTCACATCAGATCTCAATACAATCAGAGAACATTAGGAACTGTTAAAAAGCATGATCAAGTGTTCAGAGCAGTGAGGGGCCGAATATTAATCTGAAAGAAACGTACCCTCTTAGGTTCCTCTACGAAAGCAGAAAGCCCTGGCTTCACAGCATCAAAAATTTCTCCTTCCAGAACTGGAAGCTGTCCTATTTTATCAAGGAGCAAAATAGAAGAAAGATGGCTGATTACCAAGTGTAACTTCTGATACTGGAATCTATATCAAATAACCTACCAGATTAACCTGCTATTCCCTGACTACTGCAAGGAATTTCGTTTATGAGCAGTGGCTCACAAGAGTACTGGATGAGGAGACAGGCGATGTTGGCAATCCTTCAGGGTCCTCTCTGCCATTTCTCTGGTGGTCACCTTTCTCCTACTCCTTTCTCAGACTTTAAAATGTAAACTGAGAAGGGAACACTGAAAATTCAGACAAAATTCTTCTTCAGGGTCCCTTCATGCCCTTCTCCAAGATAATCCTTCTCCCAATATAATCAATATTCTGGACATTGGAGAATTTACCATGTTTAGAAAAGAAGAAAGACAAAATTATAACTATACTTATCACACACACAGATTTCAGAATGTAAGCAACCCAAAATTTCTGTTAATCTCACATTTCAATAAATCGTATATGTTCAATTATAGTCGAAAAAAATCTCTGAAGACAGATATTTGGTAAATCACATCACAGTACGTTTCTGGAGATATTAAAGCATGGATCTACAGAGTCTGGTAGGGGTGGCAGTGGTACTCACCTGGTATTCTCTGCTCAAAGGTGTAAACATGAATCCGTGTGCCAGTGCTGCCTGCATCAAACATAATTCCATATAAGGTGCTATCACTGACATTGATGGGGCACATGGAAGACAGGAAGACACCCTCAAACCAAGTCTGCTGGTCTCTGTGGAAGACAGTCGTGCAAACACAGGATGCCACCAGCATGCAAAAGACTGCCCCCCAGGAAGTGGCCATTCTCTTCCTAGGATGTGGTGAGTCTAGGCTTTTGTTGCAGAAGCAATGTTGTTCACACACCTGCAGTGACTTATATGACAAAAACACACACAGTTAGACAAGCTGGCCTTTTGTTTAGACCTGTAAAAGAAGAAACACCCATTACAGCAATCCCACCACTTCCCCCAACGTGCTCCTTCTCTATTTCTAATAACCAGTACAACAAGCTAGACCAAGGTAACCTAGACCCATAGCACCTTTTCTGAAAGGTATCTGGTTGCAAAAGGAAACTTGGATTTTAAATCTACTTTCCCATGCTCTGCTTTTAACTGCAGGGCAGAGCTCATACACTAAAGGCTCTCTGTGGCACCCAGCTCCAATCATCAAGTCTACCTTTTTGCTTTCCATTTCGACAGTTTGTCTTTAAATCATATACTGATACGCTCACCCTCTTTCTATCTCTCCTTTTTGATTGTTAAGATGCTTCAATTCTACATTTAATGTCCAGGGGTTCTGGCAGAGAACCTGCCTTATATGCATGAATCCAGGAGCTTCATCCAGAGCACCAACCCACATGCCCAGGGTGATCCAAGTAGCACTACCAGTTGGAATCCTGGACATCACAAAAAACAGTGGATAGCCTCCAGCAAGCAACACAACAAAGTGTGGAAACGACAATCAAGTGTCTGACCCCTTCCCCTACTATCTATTCCATGAATTCTTCAGCTAAAGTGTGTGACTCCACAAAACAACAATGAGAGAAAGAGAGAGAATGAGAGAGAGAACGAGAGAGAGAGAGAGAGAGAGAAGTGGAAATTAAAAAAATGTTTTAAACATAAAAATCAGATGCCAGATGGAGCAATAATATAGTCGTGCACAAGGCAGACCTGAGTTCGATATCTAGCATCCCATATGGTCCCCTCCCACGCTGCCAGGAGTGATTCCTGAGTGCAGAGCTAGGGGTAACCCCTGAACTTCACCAGGTATGGCCCAGGCTAGAGTACAAGCTTTATATGCAGAAGGCCTTGGTCTGATCCCCAACATGGCTCCCCCTAAGCACCATTAGGAGTGATGAGAGTCTGAGTCAGTAGTCCTTGAGTACCCCTTATGCCTCTCCCCCAAAACACACACACACACACACACACACACACACACACACACACACACACACACACACACACACACACAGAGTTTAATTTAAAAAAAAACTTAACAAAACTATAAAGTGCCAGATTGGGAGATAGTAAAGTGGTTAGGGCACATTTAACTCAGGTTCAATCCCTTACATGTAGACCCCCAGCACTGACAGATACTGTCCTAGAAGTCCCCCAAGTACAGCTAGGTGTGGCCCAGGGGCCTTGGAGCCTCACTTCATCTTCTGGTTGTTGCATGGAAGTGCAGTCCTACTGGCTGTGATTCAGCAGGTAGGACGCTTAAGTCTTCTCAGCACTGCTTGGGAGGCCATTGGTGCCCCCACCCAAAAAAAAAAAAAGAACCCCCAACAAAACCCCAGAGACAAAGTCCCTACCACTGGTATATTCAGAGCCTGCATAGTTCAACCACTGAACTAGTCCTCTGAACTATCTCGTAGACCTACTGTTTGGTTTTGGAACATCATTCTGCAACAAAGTCATCATACTGAGTTTAGATATTCTTTGATTTTTTTAGGGCTTGGGGGGAGGGTGGACCACACTCTGTGATGCTGAAAGGCTACTCTTGACTCTGTGCTCAGAGATACTCCTGATGTGCTGGAGATCACGCCTGGATTTACTCAGGGGATCACACGGGTGCCATCAAGCTAGGGTTGCCTATATTCAAGGCAAGTAGCTTAACACCTCTACTATCTCTCTGATATCCCCTGACTTTGGCTATTCTAAACCCTATTTTCCAAAGAGAGACTCTCTCCAGTAGTGCTTGGGAGCCTAGAGGCCATGCCTGGCAATAGTCTACCTGGTATGTGGTTGGGTGCTCAAGCCTGGTGAGAGTTCTGCTTGAGTCCAGCAGTGCTATTCAGTAGGCCCAGCAGTATTGAGAGCCAACAGGGTTATACCTGGCTGTGATCAGTAAGTCTTGAGGTGCCTGAGATCAAACATGTGACCCAGTATACACTATGCAGGCATTTCAACTCTTTGAGTTATCTCCTTGGCCCAGGATGTTCTATTCTTTTTGGGGGTAAGAGATGGAGGTATATACCTGGTAGTGCCCAGGGCTTATTCCTGGCTTTGCACTCTTAGGGGTCACTTCTGGTGCGTCAGGTTGGTCCAAGACAGGTTGGGAGGCTGGAGATCAAACCTGGATCTGCTGTGTTTAAGGGAAGCACTCTACTCTCTGTATGGGGACATTCTATTCTTAAGCCCATGATTAAAACAAACAAGACTTGGTAGTAGCGTTCAGCGGAATAATGGTGTTCATTCTCTCTGGCAGCTCATTTTAACATTTCCCCCATTTTTCTGGAGGGACATTAAGTGAAAAATAAAACAATTTAGTGGTTTTGTTTTGGTAATTTTTAACAGGCCTGTGATTAAGCTCAGGGTTATTTCCTCCGATATCAACAGTAAAGGAGAAATAGCTTTTTTCAAGGTCAGTTCTTCAACCCTGGGCACTGTTGATATTTGGGACTACAAACCTCATTGTGGACACTGTCCTCCATGTGGCAGGAAGTTGAGGAGCATTTCTGGATTCTACCACTAGATTCCTGCAGTATCTGTACACCCCAGCATACATTTATAGCAACAAACCTTTATGACAACCAGAAATGTTTAAATAGTGCCTATTTTATCCTTACATTAACAAAGATTAGTATGTGTCTACCCACTAATACTGTTTTTCGCCTTTGTTGCTCCTGATGCATTTTGCTTAAGATAGTTTTTGGTTTCTAATTGTTTTTTTATGCTGGGGTTCAAAAGCAGGTCCTCAAACACACAAAGTATATGCTCCAGCAGTGAGCTATATCCCTGGTCTGCCCAAGACAAGTTTTAATTATTCTCATTCATCTTTTTTTAAAAAAATTTTTTTTGGGCTTTGAGGTCACACTGGATGTGGTCAGGGGACATTCCCAGCGGTATCTGGGAAATCATGGGGTACCTATAATCAAACCCCAGTCTTCTGCATGCAAAGTAGATGCTAATCCATTAAGCTCTCTCTCCAGTCCTCATCTGGACTTCTCCTTGTTGAAGTCATAGTTACTGGTTAACAAGGTCTAATTCCAAAGTTCTTACTTTTCAGTGCCCTTATCTTTTATAGAGAGCTCAGCATGTTTGGAGTACAGCTGAGAGATTTTTTTTTTCTTTTTGGGTCACAACCAGAGATGCACAGAGGTGATTCCTGGCTCTGCACTCAGGAATTACTCCTGGAGGTGATCAGGGGACCATATGGGATGCTGGGAATTGAACCCAGGTTGGCCGCGTGCAAGGCAAACGCCCTACCCACTGTGCTATCACTCCAGCCTCAGCTGAGAGATTTTTAAGCATTCTCAGGACTATCAGTCTCCTAGGGTTTGTAGAGCGCTCTCTCTACAGGTAACATATTACATAAAATAAAGCAAATTAAACTGTATTTGGAATATAAAGCTATTTTTAAAAGCGAGAGCTATGCTCGGGATGTGATTGAATAATAAAGTGCGTGCTCTGGCTTGCTCGTCACGCCTGTGTTCTCCATTGAACATGTATCTCGTGTGTTTGTCTCTGTTTCTTTACTTATTTCCACTCTGGAGAAGCCTATGTTTTCTCTTGAAATGTACTTCCTCATTTATCCCCCCTCACATCTTTCTAAATAGCTTTAATAAAAGTTTTCTTGCTTCACCCTTTCCCCCAAAAACAGTATATGATTTGCATGCATGAGATCTAGCACACACACACGAAAAAAAAAAAATGTGAAAAAATATCTAGAGTTGTCCCAAAAGGGAGAGATTAGTCTGAACACTAGTCAAGATTGTATTTCTCTCCTGCAGATAAAAATGAAAGCTATGAAAGGAACTAACAGAACTGTTTGGTTTTTAGAATCTCAAACAAAGGAAATTTCATCCCCAGAAGTCAATCACTGAAACGGGGCATTTGCCTGACCAGGTCTGTACTCACTTTTTAAATCGCTTCCTGTGGCTTATTCTTCTTTTTCAGCAAACAGGCTGGTTACGTCGATCAATCTAAATAACAGACAACAGAAAACAGCAGTCTAAGAATGTGTAAGTATTAGTGAACCTCCATTGGTCCGTGGGAGTAACACTGGGTCTCTTCTCCGACAGAAAGTGGACAGAAAGACTCTCTAGTCATCAGCCTTCCTCCAACTCTGTGACCACTCACACTGGAGCATTTTCAGAGATCACATATCTTATCCATTATTGTGGCTTCTGAAAATCCTTCCCAGCTTCTATTTCTGTTAAAAAAAAAAAAACATTTGTTTTTCTTCTAAAACAGACTTCAAGGATGAAATTAAAAAAAAAAAAAGCAAACTAGGGATCTGTTTTCATGTAGTAAAAACTGCAGAGTCATACCAGAAGTGCAGTGTAAAATGAAAAAGGTTATTTGAGAGAAAGCAAAAGATGAACTCATAAAATGCCCTTTTTCTCTCAATGCTTACTTCCTAACACCACTTCCAATCTCATTTTTAAGATTAGTCACTTCAAAGAAAGAATGACAATTTAAGAGCATAGATATGGCATCTTATTTTAAAGCTGACGCTGTGGGCCAGAGAAATAGTACAGCAGGTAGGACACTTGTTTTGCATGCGGTTGACCCAGGTTCAATCCCTAACACCACAACCACATTGGGTCCCTCAGGACTGAAGAAGCAACTCAGCAACTCAAACAGAGCTGACTTCTTTCCAAAAGAAGATTAATTACTCATTGGGAGATGACAATTCCAAACTTTCAAGGCAGGACTTTCTCTAAAAGTATCAACCATCTATATGCTGGTTAAAAAAAATAAGTTAGCTTTTTATAGACATCAGTATAGTCAAATTACTCCTTTCAGATTTGTTATTTCAGTCTCCTACTCACCCCCAACAAAGTTCCTTCTGGGATTCTTTTCTCTGGAATTGGTGGCAGCTAGTATCTGTCACTATCCCCAGCTCCTTTCAAGTCTTCTCAGTGTATCTTTGTCTCTGTAGTAAGTATTAAGCTTCCCCACTCAGCACTCCCAGAGCGTCACTCTGAAATCCTTTCTTCACGTCACCCAGTCTCAGAGAACCACAATTCCACTGACCTGGGCTCTGCTTGAGTACTCGCCTGTTCTTGTTTGTACCATTCCCAGTCAATCATTGCTTTCACTGTAGTTGCCTTTTGCTCTTTGCTCTTATTTCAGACCTTCTGAATCAAGTTCACTTGATGAACCACATTCACCTTTGTTCCACTTTGCAACTATCTGCTGAGTGTTTGCTAACTCACTGCTTTATTCTTCACTCCTCCCTTACCCGCCTTTTTGTCTGGATACACAGGATTGTCTGGTTCATCTACTTTTATGAGAGTTAAGATCCAAATGGTACAAAAGTTTCTTATATAGAACATCACTTGCTCAGGAATGAAATTCTGTATTCTTTCTCTCTCCTAATGAATGCCCTTATATTTAATAATGGGTTGTTTACAAATGCAAATATATAAGTATGATAACATTATTAATTCCCACTAGGTTATGATTTGCTTTTTCCCTTTCTTTCTTTTACTGCTGTTGTTGCAATGTCCAAGAGTTGCACACTTGGTTGCTATCTGCCAGAGGCAGCATATATTGTGGTGTTGGAGATTATGCCAGCAGTCCAAGCGGGAACTGCACTTAGGGATCCAGGCTGTGCCAGGGATCAAACTTACACATGCAAGGCAGGAGCTCTAGCAATCTCATAGATCTTGGGTTATTTTATTTTATTTTAATGTTACCCCAGAAGTTGAGAATGTAATAATATCCTGTAGTATATTCTACCCTTGAGAAGAATTAGAAAGCTAGGCACTGAATTGTTAAGTAAGCATTTAGTGAATGTCTAATATATACCAGACACTGCTATATTCTTAAAATAAAAAAAAGATTCAGACCAGCTCTTTCAAGGCCTTTGGTTTCTCATTAGACTACAACCAGCAGTTGTTAAGTACCTTGATTTAAGTTTTCTGAAATTTGCACAGGTTGTTACAAGAAAAAGGGCAAGTCACTTATCTTAGATTGGGAAAGAATGGAGACAGGAAGGGAGTGTGAAACTTCTCCAGGGATAAGATGCTGGAAAGTACTTAAACAGACATAGGAGTTAACTTGGAGATATACTACAAGAATTATGAGAACTTTAAGTATTAAGAGTTCATTAAGCCTAATTGGTGGCAGTTAATATACACTGGTGAAGATCGGGTGTTGGACATTGTATGACTAAAACCTAATTATGAACAACTTTGTAACTGTGTGTCTCATGGTGATTCAATTTAAAAAACTAAATTGAAAAAAAAGCACCAGAGCAATAGTACAGTGGATTGGGCACTTGCCTTGCAAGCAGCTGACCTGGATTCCTAGCAGCCCATAACGGTCCCTGCAGCATGCTGGGAATGATTCCTGAGTTCAAAGCCAGGAGTAACCCCTGAGCACTTCCAGGTATGGGCCTTCCCCCCCCCCAATTTTTTTTTAACAAAAGAGTTAATTATGCCTGAAAGAAATATAGAAATGTATCAAAATTAAGTGTGCAGTTAGAAAGGTGGTTCAGAGGCACTGAATCAAATTTCAAAAGTAGTGGTGAGACAAAACCAAAAATAAATGGAACATCATCAAATCAAAAAGTTTCTGCAAGCTGGAGAGATAGCATAAAGGGCAGGGTGCTTGCCTTGCACATAGCTAAATGGGTTGGATCCCTAGCACGACACACAGTCCCCTGAGCACTGCCAGGAGTAATCCCTGAGCAGTGAGCTAGGACTAAGCCCTAAGCACTACTGAATGTGGGCCTGAAAACAAAACTCTTAAACAGCCAGTATTGGTGGGATTATGGTGAGAAAGGAACCCTTATCTGCTGTTTCCACTGTTGGGAAAGTCATCTGGCCCAGTCTCAGTGAAAAACAACATGGAGAACTCTCAAAAAAAAAAAAAAACCAAAACAGAATAGAACATGCAATAGCCACCACTTCTTGGCATCTATTCCTCCCACCCCCCCTCCTGCCCCCCCCCCAAAGAAACCTCTCCAAAACGCCACAGTAATTCAAAAGGATGTATGCATGTCTGTGTTCATCACAGTGCTTAGCCCATTAGTTATGAATCTGTGTTCATCACAGTGCTTAACACATTAGTTAAGATATGAATTTCTTCTGGAGGGGGCACACCTGGCGACGCTCAGGGCTTACCTCTGACTCTGTATCCAGGTGTCACTTCTGGCAGACTCAGGGGACTATATATGATGGGGATAAAACCCAGGTTGGTTGTGTACAAAGCAAGCACCCTGCCTACTGTACTATAACTGTGGTCCCTCGCCAAAATACTGAAACAACCCAAATGCCCAACTACAGAAGAATGGATCGGGGCTGGAGCTATAGTACAGAGAGTAGGGCATTTGACTTGCACACGGCCAACCTGGGTTCGATCCCCAGCATCTCATATGGTCCTCCAAGCACCACCAGGAGTAATTCCTGAGTGCAGAGCCAGGTGTAACCCCTGTGCATCGCCAGGTATGACCCAAAAAAAGGAAAAACAAAAGTAGTAGTTGTGGTCTACACAATGGACTACTATGTAGCTCTCAGAAATGATAAAATCATGCAGTTTTCTATGCCATGGATGGAACTAGAGGATATCATGCTGAGTGAAGTCAAGAGAAAAGCGATAGAAACAGAATGATTTCTCTCATATGTGAGACTTAAACATATACAGCAAGGGAGTAACAATGGGCCAAAGGGAACACTACAGGAGAACTGATCCATACAACCAAGTTTAGGAGGGTAGAGTGAAAGGGAGAGGTGTTGGCCTCTTTGGGGTAGGGAGGTGGGGACACTTGTGATGGTTGTGGTGCATGGGAAATCATCATAAATAGTATAATAAATCACAGAACCTCAACCCGTAAAAAAAAAGAGTAGTCAGGGGTGGGAGAGAGTTCACAGGGCTGGACTGCATGCAAGAGGCTGTTTTTTTTTGTTTTTTTTTTTTTGGTTTTTTTTTGTTCATGTGCTACCTGGCAGTGCTCAGAGCTTAATCCTGGCCTTATGCTCAGAGATTATTGATTTTAATAAAATTAAAAATAGAAAAATAAAATACGAAGACAGCATGAAATGTAACTACAATAAAAAATTTAAACAAGAGCTAGGGAGGTGGGACACACAAAAGAATTAAACAATAAGTTGGACTATCAAAATGGGTTAGCCAAACAAAGTAAAAGCAAGATGGTTCTAATAAAGAAAGATCAGGACAGATTTCAGCACCATGAGCTTTGGGAATATAGCATGGGACTTAGATGCCCAATACCAAGGAGTAGAGCCCTGGAATGCTTTTGCTTTTCTATTTGAAAGTCATCTAAGGTGATGAAAAAAATGACATCTTTTGTATTTTCAAGGCCAAATCTCAGTCCAAAATATGTTAACACATCAATAATTTTGTCCTGAATGGACCTGGGACCATTAGGCCAATGTTTATCTGCAGACAAAAGCACTGGGGCACAGAGAATTTCATTTCCCAGAGACTTACTGGGATTATATTACACTGCCAACTCTTCATTCTCCCTCCAAACCACTGTATGAATAGGACTGCTTATTTCAGAAAATCTATTTACTCACATACTAACTTATTCAATTTGCAGTTCCAGAAATTACTTAATGGTTGCCCAATAGTTCTTACAAGTGTAGTTACTGGGCCAGAGCCGTAATACAGTAGGTAAATAAAATGGATCAGCATGCAACAGTTACAATGTTCTGACATGTCAAAGCAAAACATGAATAATTCCTGTTAGAAGCATCAAAGAAGAACCTGTGAAAGAGGTGGCCTCTGAAGGACCCAAAGAGGGGATTTAGAACAGGAAAGAATACTTGTCAGGAAAAACATGAATCAAGACATACATATAGAAATGGGAAGGGGGAGTTCTGGGAAACAGATCAGTTTGATCAACTAACTGCAAGAGAAAATAAACTTAAAAAGGCAAACTGAGGTTAGAAACAACAAAACAGCAGGTTCCAAATAAGGAGTTAAGACTATTCTGGGGCCAAGGAGTGGGGAGATGACTCTGGGGCCAGAGTAATAATCCAGTGGATAGAGCGCTTGCTTTGCACACAGCCATCCCAAGTTTGACCCCTGGCATCCCATATGGTCCCCCGAATCCACCAGGAGTAATTCCTGAGTGAAGAGTCAGAAGTAACCCTTGAGCACTGTGGCCCAAAAACCAAAAAGGGGGGGAAAAAGTCTTCTGCAGGTGGTGTGAATCAATAAAGATTTTGAACAAGGAAATGTTATAGACTTGAATCTAGCCATTGCATGTAAAACAGATCGGGAGAAGGAAGCTCTGGTGGGCAGGTGAGCTCCAGTCCATTGTATAACTCTCCAAATGTTTACTGATTCCTACTAAGTACGTGGTGTCAATAAATTAAAGGTGAATTATACTGACATTTTAATTCAAGATGTACAGAATCTGGCAGAGCTGGCATATATAAATAACCAGGCCTGCGACAGAGAGATAGCTCAATGGGCTGAATTCATACTTTGCATATAAGAAGCTGAGGTTCAGTCCTCAAGATCACAAGGTCCCTCAAGCACCACCAGAAGCAAGTCCCCTGGTGAGCAAGGGACACCCTCAGCATCACTGAGTGTGGCCCAACAAACAAAAACCAAATAACCACACCTTTAAAAAATAATCATAAAAGGTTAAGGAGAAAGAGAGCTCTATGGGCTAGAGTGCAAGACTGGCATACAGGAGGCCCAGGATCCCACGGTCCCTTGAGCATGGCCAGGGGCAACTCCCACGGAGTCAGGAGCCTGTAGTCCCTGAGCACTCCCTGAAGTGGCTCCAAAACAAAAATAATTACTCCAAATAAAGGTAATCATAAAAGTTCTAGCGGCTGGATAGGTAGTAGAGCAGGTAGGGTACTTGCCTTGCATGTAGCAGACCTGGGTTTGATACCTAGCACCCCACCATCCGCAGAGCCCTGTCAGGAGTGACCCCTGAGCACAGAGTCAGGAGTAAGCACTGAGCACTGCCTAATGTGCCTCTCCCCCAAAAAAATATTTTTTCAAAGTGAAATTTTCTGGTTTAGTGTCATGATGATTCTATTTTCCTTTA